AAACCCTAAAAAGAGGGTTCCTACAAAGAGGGGATATCAACATTTCTAAGCTTCATATCTACACTCATTCTAATTCCATAATCTGCACTGCAAAGTATTTAATCTGGCTCATTCAACATGATGCCTGTGGAAGAACTGAAACCCACCCTGACTCACAGATTACAAAGGACCTCTTTGATGGTCAGAAAGCAATACTGTACACAAAAACAGGGAGGGGAAATGAAAATTTTTACAAGTTCTGTGCTATTAATTCCTTCAGCTTGATGCTGAGATGTTGTGGAGTCTCCCTGATTTGAGATATTCTAGAACTGTCTGGATACAATGCCATGTGCTCCAGAACAGCCCTGCTTGAACAGTGGTTGGACAACATGACCCACTGTTGTCCCTTCCAAAGTGACTGATTCTGTGATTCTGTGGCATGGATAATGTCCCCCCACCTGATTCTGAATATCTATTCACCAAAGATATTTCTATGCATCTCTTTGACTTTGAACATGTTGCTACAATGTGAGTGACGAGAAGAGGATTTTATGAAAGAAGTATATTTTGGGTGATCACTCTGTTTAGAGAGTCGGGAATGAATGTATTAGGTTGCTCAAGGAATCACTGGCAGATGCATTGGTAAAGCAAGTTTAATATAGAAGTGAAAGCGTAAAAAAGTTTGTTGGCAAACTTCACTGTGTTCTTTACTGAATAGTTAGAGCACACAGAAAAATCAGACTAAAATTTGAATCAATCAGTCTAAAAATAAAATTGATTTACATCATAGAAGCTGGGGATGAAAAAAGGGGAAAGAATAAGGATTAAAAAAAATAAGGGAGACTCCCCTATTGAATCAAAAGATTCAGAGTGAATGCCTTTGCCAAACTGAACCTTGGACTTGATCAAATGTTTAGGCCTAAAGGTTTTAACAGCACTTAAACCTAACAGTACTCAACAGCACTCAATTGATAGCCTGACTTAATTAATTTGTCAGAAGAGTCTACAGAATTTGCTGCAAGCACAACAGTAGCTCACTTAGAGGTCTAACTTACCAATCGGAAGTACCTAAGAATCTAAGAGCATTCACAGCTCATTTGCTATGACATATTCACACCTGTACACACCTGTATGACCAGAGGAATATGTACAAGGTATAAACCTGGGAAAAAATGCCCTCAAGTTCAGTGAAGGACTCACATGGGATGCCTTTGTGCCTCCTCATTGGGTGAAGGGTTGAGCACTGGGTCAGTGTTTGCTGCGATTCCTGAGTATCCTTCACTGGCTCCAAAGGGCGCTCACTCCCAGGAGATTTCTGGTCACACCCCACAGTGGCCCAGGGGAGTTTAAAGGGTCTCACTTGGCACCACTATTTTTAGGGTTGCAAGAAAATTGGCTTTGGCCACAGTAATTTCCCACATGAACGCCAAGGCCTAATGGGCATTTCTGAAGTCAGCAGAGCTCGAGGAGGCAGCAGGAGATGCGCCACCACAAAGAGGTTACATCCTGAAACTCAAAAAGGGTAGGAAAGCAGGAGAGGTCCAACCCACTCTCTAAGAAGCTTTGTAAATAGATTTAATGGAAAAGAAGGATTGGCAGTTACTCAGACAAATCTGCAGGCAAAACATTGGAAATATCAGAAATGGAAAATTCTGTGGGAATAAGATACTTAAACCAGAGTAGCATCCCAGCCCCCAAAACTGAGAGATAAGTGGTGAAGGTCTGTACAAAGCAAAAAAAGAAAGGTGTGAATAGCTTATAGGGAATAGAGACTGCAAACAACTTGGTCTTATATCTTCATTTTTTTTTAGCATGTTTGGCTATTAAAGCCTCACAATGAGTTCTTACTGTATGTTTTCTGCTGGCTAGCAGAATCAACCCAGTGGCAATTGTGCATCTGCTGTGATTCATGGGATTATAGATACTCATATCTTCTAACACTTTGTATTTCACTGCAGTGAAGGACAGAAAAACCTGAAGAACATTAAAAAGAAGAATACAACCAAAACATGCTGCATATGGAAATTTATATTACACTATTAAAAAATTAAAAAGCAGAAATGTGCAATATATACTACTGAGTGATGCTTATCACAGAATAATTTTTCAGAAGTATAAATGAGACCACAGATAACTACAGTGTTGTTTGCTGTTACTACAAACATACACCAGTCATTTGCACTGGAGCTGAAGGAAAACTATTAGATCATGGTTCACACCCTACAGATGGAACAAACCATCTTCTGCTCATGAACTTCACAGATATTAAAAAGATGATATCATCTGAGATCCAAACCCAAAAGCTACCAATTACACAAAACACACCCTGAACTCACTTTGGGGTATCTGTCAAAAAAATCGGAAAAATAGGCATTTCACTGGAAATGCTGCATGGAAAGACACTGCTGTGTTTCCATCTGCTTATAGCAGGTCTAGCAAAGAATTTTTCTACATAGAATAATTACACACATTAAAATAATCCTGAAATACCACTTTGTTTTGATTCTCCATTTAGAATAAGCTATATATAAAGTCAGGTCTTTGTATGCTCTGTTAACAATTTCTCAAAATTATTATAAAATAGAATACTCACCCGTCAACCTATTCAGCTTGGAAAAAGATGAAAGAAAGAATTCCCTCTCTAGGGAAAGCAGCTAACTCTGCTTGGCACTTGTAAACACAAAAGAAATTTTAAAAGTTTCAAAGTTCACATTTAAGGAGAACGTTTATACAGACTGATTACTTTGAAATTTCTCTATGATCTGACCACGCCAATTTCTCACTAATATATCAAACGTGACAGCTACAAACCTTTCAAGAAAAGTTAAAGTTTCTCTGAATTTTTTCATTATGGGTTAAAAGCACAAGATGATGTATCAAAAAGGCTCGGCTGATCTCAGAAGATTCCAAGATTGCTGTCTCCCAAAATTCACAGATTCACAGAATGGCTTGGGTTGGAAGGGACCTAAAGATCATCCAGTTCCAACCCTGCCGCCATGGGCAAGGACACCTTCCCCCAGACCAGGCTGCTCACAGCTCCTCCAGCCTGGACTTGAACACTGCCAAGAACAGGGCATCCACAGCACCTCTGGGTGACCGTCCCTGTGCCTCATCATCTTCACAGCAAAGAGTTTCTTTCTCCTATCTGACCTAAAGGCACACTCTTTCAGTTTGGAGCCATTCCCCCTTGTTCTATCACCATATGCCCTTATAAGAAGACTCTCTCCAGCAATCCTGTACCTTCAGGTACTAGGAGGTAGTGGTAGTATCATCTCTGTCTAAAATTGTTTCTATTATATACAATAACTACTTCCCCCTCCCCACACCAGAATTCCATAATGGGGAAAAAAAAAAAGAAGGGGAACTCTATTACTTGCTTCTCCCATCACTCCCTGTCATGCAAGTAAGTGGCCAGACAAGCCCTTTTTTTTTATTTAGCAAGTTACAATTGGTAGTACAAATTTAATCTGCAAAATTGCAGTAGTCCTCAGCCATACAATTTAAAATCTCATAAATTTTCTCAAGCCAGAGGTGGCCTTTTGTACTTCAATACTGATTACTATTTTAGAACTTCAACTAGCTGAAGACACAGGGAAAAGAAAAGGCATCAGGAAAGAAAAATATATTTGTGAACTCTAGGAAGGGTCAAAACCTTCCCATAAGTGCTAGAACAAGTATGAACAGAACATAGAAAAATAATGACGGGCTAAAGCTCACATTTTGAAGTAGGAAAGGTTACTGCTTTTCACAGATATTCTGGCACTAAGGTGACATCAGAATGAAACAAATACAACCATGACAAACACTGAGACCTTCACTGATCAGTGCAGCTACAGATCCACATAGCATCAAATCCAGCTGACAGCTTTTCAGTCAGAGCTGGATGACTATCCCTAGCTCTACATCCTTCCTACATAAGGTGAAAAGGAATTGAGGGGAAGCAGAGGAAATTATGTGATTTGCCCTGATCAGGAAACTCATGGCCTGGGTCAGAAGTTATCTGGGGCCTCAGCTGTCACTGCTGTCCCACAATACACAAAATTAAGTCTCTGTTCTCCTAAGCATGTCCTTGCCATCATCCTGGCTCTTTGAGGATGGGTCTCTTGTCCCTCATACACTGGATTTCCAGTGGTGCCTTTGGCCAGAGACAGGGCCTTATTGATAGCACACTTAAATCTGCTACTGGCTCCGAGAAATTTGTTCCCTAGTTTTTGGGTTTTTTTAAATTTCTTTACTGCAGGATGACATAATTTGAGCCAGGAATAGAAATCCATCTATTTGTATACAAAGCCTGAGCATGAAGAAGCAATTACAATGCCTTTTGGAATGGGTTTGGGGACTCACCATGTTTCAGACATGAGAAGTGTCTTGCTCAGTCCTTGCAGGCTGCAACAGCTGGTGCACTTGAAGAGAGAGGCTTAGGTACATCAGTGGCCTTAACATCCCACAATTACAGCATCACCTGGCTGGCAATCACCACTGGAGAGGGCCCAGGACACTTGCTGTCCCAAAGCAGGGTCAGTTAAAGCTGCTTCTCCATAGAAAAACACTCCAAAGGTGCACTGCCAATCAATTCCAGTGCCTGACCACTTAATAAAAACATTCCTTCTGTTTTTGTGGAAGTGCCTGCATTTCAATGTGCCCCCACAGACTCTTTTTCTCTGCCACTGGGCCCCACTGAGAACAGTGCTCACCTTTTTCACCTTCTTCACTCCCCACAAGGTAAAGATATGGAAAGGATGCCCCTGAGTCAGTAACACTGCTGCTCCTTGCTTCCCAGAGCTGAAATGATTGTACACTCAGCAGCTGAGGCCAGCTTTGAGATATGTGGCTTCCAAGACAGACCCATAACTTCAGTCACCATCAGTGTCTCCTTTCCAGTGTTGCTAGCTTGTCTCTGAATGAAGAATAGGATATGCTCCGCAAACTTCACAAGTAAACCAGTGTTGAAATAAGACAGTTTGTATTACTGACACAGCACACACTATAGAATTACTTGATACAAGAATAGAAGACACCCATAATTTTATTGCCTTGTCAGACATAAAAATTTATTTATGCTATTTGTCAAGTGTTTAAATTTACACAAAAGACAAACACTTTAACTTCAGGTCCAATTGTTCATCAGTAAGCCCTACATCAGAATACCCCTGACGCTTCCAAGGACAACTTTTACAAGACGCTTAGAACAGCAGAATATCATAAATAATGGCCAACTTCACAAGCCTGAGGATCACCACCTCATCACTATTTCTCTGTCAAGCATGAGAACAGAGGAAGCCTTAAAGCCATTTTAATCCCCAAATACTATCACTACTGCACTCAGAGCATTTACATCACTGCCCTGCATTAATAACACCAAACATTACAGTTAGTCGTAAAGATTTATCACAGCTTCCCCTAACAAAATTACCTTTCTTTTAAACATAACAAGAGAACTGTGCATCAAAACAACTGCAAAATACACAATCATCCATTTGGCTTGGTTTTACAATAAAAATAGTATCGGTCATCTATTTGTTAACTTCAACTCTTGTATCATACTCCTTACCCCCTGCTTTCTCACTTAGACCAGGCAGTTTAATTGTAGCACTGAGGTAGCATATTTTAATTGAACAGAGTAATAAGTTTGATATTGTGCCTCTTCTCCTTTAAAGCACAAAAAATACATCCCCACAGTTTTTCAACATCTTTGGAGAAGACAAGCACATAGTTTATTTACAACAGCCACTCTGTTTTGAATTCAAAGCACAAAGTATCTATGAATGGTAAATACATTATACCAGCTCGAATGAATGAGAACATATACAAGAAGAAGGAAATATGTCAGTTTTATTAGAACTAGGGTTACATTTTAGCCCTATGGCACCTATTGTTCCCTATTATGAAAAGCATCTTTACTGTCCCTGAAATTTAATTTCAAAGACAAAGATACTGAAAAAGGGTAGCTGTGCCGCTGTTCTAAATGATTTTCACACTATTGGCAGAGACAATTAATTGAAACAAAACCTGATTAAATCAATGGACCTAATATAAAGTCAACAAGAATTAACAACATGAGTATACTAAGAGAATCAAAGTTAAGGCAGAAGGTACGATTTAATGAACTGAGAGCACTTTCCATTCACTCACAAGTTAAAGCTGAGATAGCCTTAAAATAATTAAAGAAAAATCAACACTAAAAAACAAACAAAAAGAACAACCCAAAAACCAACCAACCAACCAACCAACCAACAAAAAAAAATTTAAAAATCAAAACAAAACAAAAAAACACCACTGCAAGAGTAGAAGCTTCCTTTCCCAACAAATTGAGAGTAACAGCATCTTAGCTTTGCCATTCTGGCTAAAAGCTTTAAAAGACTAAGCTGAAGTCAAGCTGTACTCAAGACTGCAGCCTTAACTTCTAGACTGTTTATCAAAGTAGCTCTTACAGACACACCTGTGTACTTAGAGAGAATAAACAGTGATCCTAAAGAACAGGAGTAATTTCCTGCTCTGCGTGCCACACTTGTACACAAAGCCTTGTAAAGCTCTGCTGAATAGTACACAATCCTCACCCAGCCCCAGGCTGGATCTTTGAATTCCTTCCTCCATCTTTCACACAGGAAAGCAAAAATATTTACTGCAGTTAAAAATCCCTTGAGTCAGCCTCATGCATAGGGGAGATTGGGCTTTAACATGTTAGAAAGCAGACTGAGAATGTAACTGAGCTGACAGAAAAACTCCCATGGAAACACCCAAACAGCTGAGGGAAAAATGCTTAAGTTATAATGACCAATTCAAGCTGTTTCTGAAGGCATTGATGCTAATCTTTCAAGTAACCCAAAATGCACTCCAACACCTGTTACTAAAAACTTAAGGCTTTTATGAATACCCTCTTACATACAAAAGGAATATTAAACAGAAGGAACTCGTTTACAGTAAATACAAACATCTGAAAAATCTCTGAAACCTGTTTATACAAATACTAATAAATTCTTTAATATTTTGTACAACTAGAAGGTGCACAGATTGGCATTCAAGCAGTCAATGCTGGCAAACATCTCTCAGACAATAACATGATTTACTTGGATAACAATATAGTTTAAAATGCCATAAATTAAAAAATAAGTTAGTTCACATTTTTCCCCCAGATTTTATGTACATCTTAGTCTTTAATGAGATCGTGCAGCCTCCTTCAGAAGCTCGAGGTCTTTCTGACGGCTTTTAGTTGCTCTGGCACAGCCATACTCTTCCAGTTGCAGAGGGATATACTTTTCTATCTGAACGAGCCCATGCCCAGCAGGACTGGTAAACAGCTTAATCCAGGATGGCTTAATGTTTCCTCTGAAGCCCAGAAAGGCCAAGCTTCCTGTGACAGAAAAAGCTCAGCATTACCAAACCAGCCAAGCTCACTGCAGCACCACACAGGACTGGTTAGGTAGGCAAAGGCAAAATTCTTTCCCCCACATTATTCAGGACATTTATCCACTCTAAGCTTTACATGCACCTTACAAAGAAATAATGATTTGCCTTTTCCTGTCTCAATATTTAGTATTAAATACCCTGAAATCTTAATTTGAAAACACAGCTAATTGGACAGTTATAAAACCAGCTTTCTCAACCACAACTTGTGGCATCACTCTGCACAGATGAGAGCTGCCGCCATGTGGCCTATAAACTCATCATGCCTCAAAATACCAATAGCTTCTCATTTCTAGCTTCAAGTTGTTTTAGAACAGGAAACACTAGACAGGCACAGGAGATTGCTTAAAGATGCAATTGCTGTGTGAGGCACAAAATACAGGCTTTAGGAAAAAAGCCTGCGACTCTTGTGCGTTCCACAGGCACAAAGAAGGCTAGTTACTTCTCTGTTTGCAACAAGCTTCACACAATGGGATAAAGGGGTTTTCTGCTCCATCTGCTAAAGGGCTGCTCAACAAGAGCTGACACACAGCAGCCACACACACACCTTCTCACACACCCCATAAGAAACCCACCACGCCAACATGAACACAAAGACCAAGGTGGTGTCAAAGAAATGCGCAACATTTCCACCAACCATTGCTCTGAAGATAAGGTGGTTTCGCTGTCCCCAGGGACATTAAGGCTTCACCTAAATTATTAGGAATTGCTACATCACCTCTTGTGCTCAGCAGAATGATAGACCTGCAACAGGAACAGCACGACACAGCAGCTATTATAAATACATTTCTTTAATATTCTGGCTACACACCTTTCCAGCTAACTGCCCTCAGTGTCCAATTCCTTATGAATGCTTATGACATGGAAATAGTCAGCCCTTTATGAAAGTGGTACTACGAATTTCTTGGTTTTAAACAGACTTAAACCTCAAAATCATTGGAAAGTGTTATTTAGATACAGCTTAGTATTTAGTATCAAAAAAGTCAAGTTTGGATATTGATCCAAATTTAGGAAATTAAAATACTGTTTATTAGTATATAATAACTGTTAGTTATACACTAACTCTCTGTCTTTATTTAGTAATAAATAATTTTCTCCCTATAGGGAGAAAACAATATGACATCTTTCACATAGTCCTTGCCACTGCCCTTATTAAACAAAAAGTTATTCTTGCTTTAAGCAAAGCAGTGTTATTACATGATGCTTTATTAAAGAAAATTATTTTTGAGGAAAAAAGCAACACCAGAAAAATTTTAAGTGCTCAAAATCTGCTTAGTTTTCTTAAATAAGGATACACTGTCCAATAAATTGCTCCTCTGTTTCTCCTTTTGCCTGAATTATAGACATATGTTTTGTTCACTTTCAGCACTCAGGTATCATTATCTATTTGTCATTATTTAAATCCTTGTCAGAGAACAGATCTACAGCTTGCAGGACATACTGGAAATTGGCTGGTCACTGCACATACCTTTGTGGAATTCCAGATTTTAAATATCCATCTACATGCCTAATGTCTACTCCAGAAAATAATTTGTTTCCCAACACTGTGCCAGTGCAGGCATCTACTACAACAATAAGTATTCCATTACCCTTGAAGGAAAATATGGTGTCATTGACCTCAATGGGAAGAAAAAGAGAGAAAAAGAAGTTAATATGAATCAAACAGCAATTCTACTGCACTCAGTGGCAATCAATCTTACTCTAGTTTAGACACAGTAAGTTCCTTACAAATGCTTGCTTCCCCCTAGCAACTCTTCAGTTTTTCCTTTGAAAGGACACTGCTTAATGGGATTTCTGAAAATGCATGGGAGTCTTAAGCCTGTAGCTTCTGCAGGAATATTGCACATTCCAGATGACTTAGTACTTGCCTCAGTCATTGCTCCAGCTTTGGGAAGCTAAAATTCAGGCACTGAATCCCCTGGACTTCTTTACAGTAATACAGTTAATTAATCTCTGCAGCAGGTAAGTTCCAGACCAGTTTCTTCCTGCTGCTTTGGATATGGCACACACATTCCTGGAGAAGTTTGCAGCTGCAAAGGTTAAGCCCTCAAGTTCCATTTGTCTACCTGAATAAGTAAAAGTTCAGCCAGGCCAACAATGACACTGCAGAATGTAAGGAAGTACCATTAAGTGGTACGTCACCTTCATGTGCAACTCTACTTCAGCATCTGAATGGAAAAGTCAAACTAAACTACTTGTTATACAGTATCACTGGGCTCATTTGGGTTCACATCAGAACAAATACAGAAATCTACTGATTCTTTAGCAACTGCCTTTAGCAATTGCTTAGAGGACTTCAGCAAAGCTTAATGGCTTATGTGACCACTCCCGCTAATTTACTGATCTGCTTGCACAAGGACAATTTCAACAAAATGGATTTAACTAACAATTTTTTAGTTTATGTCTTCTGTTTATTTCCAAAACCAGCCATAAATGTAAGCCCACACAGGTTTAAACCTAAACTGAACATTTTAAACTCTAATGGGAACACTTCTCTCTTCAGCAAATAGGACTCAAATATAAAATGGGGCTTTGAAGCCTCACTTTCTAATGTTTAAACACAAGCTTTTTGACTTTATTTTTTAAACAAAAACCAATCTTTTCATTCAAGTGAAGAAAACTGAGATGTGCATTATGAAGAGCTGTACCACTGCTACCATACATACTGCTATAGTGATATTTAAGTAGAAAGCCATAAAGAATACTTACATATATAAATGCTTGCTGGCCTCTGCTTGACTCTTTTTCATCAGATGAATTAATCTGCACAAGGAGGTAGTTTCTGTGAGGGTCACTGGTGAACACCATCTGGATATCGAACAAAACAGTTAAGTACACATATTAATGTTTCTTCAACACTTTCTCATGCCAGTTTACAACGGACAGCTGATGCTCCAAAGCAAATATATCCATTTGTCAATGGCATTATTTATGGTACTACTAATACTAATGAATATAATGATACATAGAGGAACCTACTTTATCTCTTAATTTCAGTATTTTACTCAGTTTGTATAGGTGAGACAATTTCAAGTTCATGTTAATTAGCAAAGATCCAAACAGAGAGAAGGTTTGCCATGTAGATCTCTGCAGCAAAGCTCTCCATGTATCACAGGCAATACTGCAGTGCAAGACATCAATCCACCTATGTCCCTTTTCTGTAGTACTTGGAGCAAGAGTTGCACAAAAGAAGAAAAAAAAAACCTTGAAACCATGCTACAGAAAGGACTCCAAACCTTCAAGGAGTCCAAGAAGATTAACAAGCTGACCACTGCAATTTGATAAGTACAGTATTCTGTGCTGAAGGACTGAAATTTGAACTTAAATTGAGTAGACAGCATCACCAATCCTACAGTTCATGAAAGTTTTAGCTTATTTTATTTTACCTGAGTTGTGCCACATTTTGAACATGGTACAGTAGTTTTTTCTGGCATCTGCTTTATGACGGTTGGTACTTGGTAGTACTTTGGGTAAGCTTTTGCCATGCAATTACTTATCCCTTTTGATGAATCTTTGGTCACAATCTTGATCCTTTCACATCCCTGAGATGAGCAATAACTGTGACCATCCCTATTATATTTGGCTTGAAGAAATAAAAACAGTAATCTATACAAAAAGGGGAAAAATAATCTAAATTAACTGATGAAATATAGGTATTTATATTCAATCTTAGCAGCTATAATTCATGATTTTCAGAAGCAGACGAAATACAGTATTCACTTCTGCACCACTATTCAAAGGTTTGAAAGTACTTACAGTTCACTATAGCGTAGGAAATCCCTAGCAACTTATCAAAAATTCCCCACAAAAGAGACACAAATATAAATGTAGATGCTTTGCAAAGAAATAACAATCCTTCCTCTTATCAGTGGCTTACAGTAAACAAAAACCATATTGCAGAGCATGAATTTTTTCCTTCCTCATAGATCTTTGCAGATATGCAGCAGAAATATTCAGTTTCACCCATCAACACTGAACAATATAGTTGTGCTACTTCAAATGCCTGGAAAAGCATTTTAGGGTGGAAAGTTCTTACAAAAAGCAACATAAAATGTCTGTTCAAAATTCATTTGTGAATGTTCACAATTCATTTGTGTATTTATTTTAGACAAGCACAGTAGCAGGTAACAGAACAAAATAAGAGAACAAATTATAAATTCAGACTCAATGTTTGCAAAACTCATGTACAACTAATGTACACAGGACTTAATTTACTGGAAGCTGATCATATCTAAAACCTCTCAGAAGGATCACAGTGGCATCTGTGAGAAGTACTTTTGAAAGAGAGACTAGGGCTTTTAAATTCTTTTGAGACAGCTGAAAACAGATTAGGATTTTCAAAAATGTAATTTTTAAATGTTGGAAGAGAAAGTTTCTTGGAAATTTATAGAATTTTCCACTTACAAGAAAACAGATAATTTCTCTGAAGACTAAGAAATTAAATCCTAAAAGGCACTGCTGTGCAGCACACCAGAAATACTGAAAATATAGTAATATTTTCCCCAGACATGAAGTAGGAAATATCTTTGGCCACTGTGGTGCTTGTGGAAAGTATTTCAATGACAACCATGGTAGTTTGGAGATTTAAAGACATATGAACATTCTTCCAAAGAGTTTTGGAGTCCTCAACAGCTTTCCTCTTAGGCAGGTGCCTCAACCAGTTGCTTTTAACACTTTCAAACCGGACATTTCAAAGTTAAACAACATCTTCTAGCAGAGTCAAATGACAAGAATTACCCAGTACTGTTGTCAAAGTAAAACCTCTTGTCTGATCGATTCTTTTCAAGCTCCATCATTGAAGATACAGGCGTGTAGCGCTCCACCTTGCTTGACAGAGCAGATGATCGCCTTTGAAATGTTTCCAACACTATAAGAAAATCTGTCCTTGGTTGGTAACAAAGACCAACACGTATCCAGTCGTTCCTGAAACCAATATAAAATGTATGAGTCCTCACAGGAACAGTTTAGGTGTCAATACAGAGCAAAGAGATCATTCCAAAAAAAAAAGTAACAGGAACACAAAAAGCTCTTAAACCCTCAACCAGATTATCAAATTTGCACAGCCTTTCATTAAACATTTTAGTAACTGATTGTCTCAGGATATATTTGATTATATACTTCAGAGATGTTTAATAAGTTCATCTGTCAACAAAGTCAAGTATGATAAGCTATTCAAGTGCAATTCTGCTCGACTTGACTATTGGTACACCACCCTCTCCAAAGGCTTTTCCTTAAAGACACTGTACTGGACAAGTGTTTAACTTCAGATGCAGATCTGTTGTTTAATCCCATACTTTTGTATTTGTAACTATGAAAAAACATTTTAAAAAAACCAAACCCAAGCTCTGGTCTTCCAGATGATTGCAAACTCATGCACAATAATTTTGCAGGACGTAACTTCAGTATTGCCTTATGGATCAAAGCCACAAAAGAAAATAAACATACTTGTTGAAATTAATGAGATACAGATAGGTGACATTTGGAGCTTTTCCATTCCAATGTATTGTATAGCCCTTTTGGAGCATCACCACTGGCTGGTACTGCTGAAAGGCGGCTGCTCTCTGATTAATACCTCGAAGAACCATGGGATTGGCTGGATACTCATCTCGGACAATAGTCATGGATAGATTCTGTCCATTCCAGGTTTGGACATAAACCTATATGATATTTAAGAGGGTGAAAATAGGAATATTTGATCTCTTTTGCAAAAGGAAAGGAAATTGTGAAGCACAATCAGGACATTATTAACCAAAATGCTGCAATCTGATGTTCTGACTTATATAATGCACAAATCTGTTCTTAATAAAAGTCTTATTTAAAAAACTATTATAGACTTTTCCCACCTAACAGACAAAAAAGGATATGAATGAGAAAAAAAAAATCAGCTATAACATCTGGCCACACAGAGCAGGAACCAGAATGGGAACCTGTAAGACTCATATTCAGAAGGTGTTATTTAACATCTCTAGAAAACAAACCAACAAAACAACCCCTTAAAATCTACTCTGGGGAAAAAAGCAGACAGCACTTGTGTGGAAGAAGACATCTTCAACAAAGATGTTTTAGCAGATACAGCTGCAACACAGAATTCTTGGCAAACACATTTAGTTTTATCTTGCAGCTTCTGATACTGTACCCTCAGTCTGCTGAGAGGAAGCATGATGTATACACAACTGGCTCAAAAGTGTGATATGCATAGAAGTATCTTTAAAAGTCAAAAGATTTTGAAATCCAAAGACAGGTAATTTTTTTTATTTGTTACACTGCCTGACTCCACAAGTAGTTCATACTATACATTTGCCCCAAACAGAAAGCCAAAAGTACTAGCCTGTACATAGTTCCCACTGCAAACCACTCCACTCCATTCTGTCATGTTAATGCATTTGGGGTGTTGAATCAAGTAATTATCCATTCGGCCCACATAGGTATCCCTGTAGTCAGTCACTGAGCCATCTAGATCATGAAATATTGAGTTCTTGTCACCATCCAGATCTCCTTCTTCAAACCAGGGACCAGGCTTCCCAAAGAAGGCTTTCAAAGAAACCTGACAACAACCAGAAGTTTTTGTTTTTCCAGAGGCTGAAACAAGACTTACATTTGCACATGTACAGAAACATGGGAATTTGACAAAGCTGATTAAAAACTTTACAGCAAGGATAGCAGAATCTCACAAAGCAGACGTGCTTGGTTTTACTAATAGGCTCAAGCCAGCTCTTACTTCTGAACAGTGTTAATAATTGCTGCAGAAAATAAACTACTAAGGATATACACCAAACCTTAAAAATCTTATAAAAATTTCTTTTCAACTTTACCACAAGCCATGAATCATTTAGTGTAATGTATCATACATCTCTGTTGGTATTGGATTTTTTGGTCAGGAGACAAAGGAGGTGTGACCTCCAGCCAGGAGATAAACTCAGAAGTAGGTAATGCATAGAAAGGATGACATACAACTCTTGTTTGTGTATGTTAAATACAAGAAAAGAAAACCATTTGCAAGACTTCAGGAAAACTTGTAGTAAACTTACATTTGGACCAAATTTCACAAGAGAAATGTTATTTTTTGGAGTCATCTGCCATGGATTTTTCATCAGGAATCCAACTGCACTGGTAAATCTGTCTGGAGTTGGCACAAAGTTTTTAAAGGTGCACTTAGTAAGGTGAATAGGTCCATCATAAATCTGAAAGCCTCTGATTGGAAATGTCCTGTTGATGCAAGCAAATATTTATACCATCCTGTAACAAAATTCATGGTACACTTGAATCTGTGTTAAATACATCTCTTCTCAGAAATCAATAAAGTAACAATTACAGAACAATTCGCAAGATAGAATTTAGCAAAGGAAATATGGTTTCTGCACTTCTCTAATGAGTCAAAAAATCCCCTACTCCTAAATTTTGCTGTTAGCGGAGCTATCATTCTCCATGTGCAAATGTACCCCTTTTTCAACATGAGAAATACAGCAGAAAAATAATACATCCTGCTCTTTGATTGATCATGATAACTGGAAGTGACTGCAGACTGGAAGAAAGCAAATGTCATTTCTAACTTGAGAAAGGAGCACACAGAGAATGGTAGGCTGGCAAGGCTTAACTTGACCCCCAGAGAGATGGTGGTGCAGCTAATCCTAGAAACCACTTCCACATACCTGGAGGACTGGAAAGTCATCAGGAATAATCAGCATGAATTCACCAAGGAGAAGCTGATAAACTTTTGTGATGAAATGACTGGTCTGGTAGAGCAGTGGGAGAGCAGAGGAGAGGGTCTACCAAAACTGCAGTAATACTTTTGACACTGTGTCCCATATGATCCTCATGAGTATGGGCAGGATGAGAGGACAAATGGCTGGGCCCAGAAAGTGATGGCATAAAGTCTGCCTGGTGACCAATAATGGGTGATGTACCCCAGGGGTCAATATTGAGTCCAGTCTTGCTCATTATTTTCATTAGTCACCTGCATGATTAGGCCAAGTACAGTCTATGGGCCAAGCTTGCAGAGGGCACAACACAGAGGGAAGCAGCTGATGCAGCAGAGTGTTGTGCTACCAACCAGACAGACCGGACAAATGGGTGGATGGGAACCTCATGAAGTTTAACATGGGAAAATGCAAGGTCTTGCACATTGAGAGCAACAACTCCTTGTGCCAGTGAAAAGGACCTATGGGTCCTAGAGGAAGCAAAACTAACCATAAGCCAAACAATATGCCCTTGCCACCAAGAGGCAAAAAGTATCCAGGGCTGCATTGTAAGAAGTGTTATCAGCACACTGAGGGAAGTGATGCTTCCCATTTTTTCAGGACTGGTGAAACAACAATGTGGAGTGCTTGTCCCCAGTATAAGACAGACATGGAGATACTGAAAAGTGCAGCAAAGGGCACAAAGATGATTAAGTCCCTGGAGCATCTCTCATGGGAAGAAACACTAGGAGACATGCTCAGCCTGGAGCAGAAAAGCCTCAGGCAGTAATCTCAATCTTCTGAAGGGAGGGTGCAAAGAAGACGGAGCCAGGGTATTCCCAGTGACAAGACCAGAAGCAATGTGCACAAGATGAAAAATAAGATGTCCCTACTAAACAACAGGGTTGCCCAGGAAATTTATGAAGAATCCACCCTTGGAAATATAGTAAGGACACCTGAATGTTGTCCTGGAACCTGAGCCCTAGGTGACAGTTCTTGAGCAGGGGAGTTGGACAAGATGACCTCCAGAGGCCCCATCCAGCCTCAGTTGTTAGGTGATTCCACTGAACAAGACTGAATACCTCATATCACCACCACATTAACTTCCCCTCTTTAAATGGCTGAACAGCAAAAAACTAGAGTGGCAGAGGGCCATGTTACCCTTTGTCCTACTTGGCCAAGGATATGTGGGGACAGAACCTGGAGCCATGTGGGCACAGCCAATACATTGTGCTACTTGATACCATCTGACATCACAGCTGTGAAGTGGGGGAAAGGGACTGTCTCTCATTTTCTGAAGGGAGAGCATTCCTTTTTCTGAGGAAGCAGGGGGGTAACACCAGTCCTGGCCAGAGGATTTATCCACCAGGAGAACATTTGGGGTGCTGATAGTCTCTTGGCCATCTTGTTCTTCATCGGGCTACCCAGTGCCAGGTTGAGTGGTGAGCATTTTTGCTTTTATTTTCACATAAATCACCTTTGTTTTGTATACTTTTGTTATTAATATTGTTGCTATTATTGTTAATATTAATTAATCAATTAATCTAATTGTTTCCAGTACACTGTTCTTGCATCAGCTTGAGATCTCTGTCTTTTGTCTTTCTCACCTGAGGAGCTGGGCAAAGGGAAGTGGCTATATGGGGCTCAATTTCCAGCTGGGCTTAAACCAAAACAATCTTCTTTCTAATTCTGTGGCAGGAGTAGGACTTGGTATTATGTTAAACAAGCACCAGTGCAAGTCAAAGAGAAAAGAGAAGGATCATGGTCACAGACAGTGATTTGTCACAGACAAACTGCAGTCTCTAGTCCCAAGCTGACCTTTGAAATTCTCTTACCTGAAAGCTCTCTTCTAGACTCAAATACTATTTAAGTCTAAGGTTCAATTTAAGTAGGATAACTTAAATTTCTACAGAATAGTAACCTGTGAAAGCATCAGATGAACCTGCTTCAGTAAAAGGGTAAAAGTGACTATGCTGCACACATAGCATTAAAAAGAAAAAGAGAGCATCACTTTCAATGGAGTCTTAATCTCTGACAGCTCAACCAAGAAGGGTCTTTACATCTGATACAGCAAATTTTTCTTGTATTTCTACTTCCTTCATTCTTGACATACTTACCGATTTCTAGGCAGCGTGCGTGTCTTGTTGTCTATTCCTCCAGTTCCCACATATTTATTTTGTCCACCTTGAAACCCATAATTCTTGCTCTCACCTATGAACAGCGACTCTGATACCTCCTGGCTGGCACCTTCATCATTTGGGAAGCTCCCATCACTATCAAAGCACATCAAAGACAAATTTTTAGCCAAGACTCTCCAGCTTGGTATAATATATACCAAGCCATAACACCACTATTTACTTCTCTAACAGCCCTCCTCAAGCAAAGCAGTATAGACTTCACGGACAATACACAAAACAATAGATTTAATCATTAACATCAATAGAGGCTAACTCACTGAAATGTTCAGCAGATCCAAACATTAAAATTTCTAACTCCCTTTGTAGTGGAGCATCTTTTATTTACAGCTCACTTTTCCAGTCCTAGAACTAGTTTTTCATAATCTCAATAGCAGTAATTTCAGTTCACTACCTAAGTTTCTTGATATTCTTCATTAGAAAGATACTCAACCCCTGTAAATGCTCACTCTCCTTTCTTTTTCATTACACACTTTCAGCTGTTCAGGAGGAAAAAAATGCCACCTAAGGAATCATACACTACCAAGAATATCTTGATAAATATAGCTTTCTGGTAAAGGGGCAACAAGCTGTGGTATAAACCAAGCACAGGCTGAACTAAAGCAGAAACTTTGGCAGCTGTGCCAGTTTACAGCCTCTATAACATCATCTGCATGACTGGAAATATAACCAGGCCCCAAACAAAAACTGCAGCCTTATGAAAGCATACCTATTAATTTTAATACATACATGTAGATTTTCGAAGCTCCTATGCAAGGAAATACAGACATTATTAAAAAAGTACTCACCTCGCAAATGTCAAACCTATTCCATTGTCTGCAAACCTATAAGAAAGTCCAAAACATCAGTTGTTTTTTCTGAATTATCCTACAATTGGTCAATATAAGAGCACATCCTGCTATGCACTGAAAAAAGCTTGAATTTTTCTATTAATGAAACATATAACTACCGCACAGTTAACTTTTCTAAAAGCATTCTTGCTAAAAAGTAGTAAAATAATTTTCTACACATTTTAAACAGGATTTGAGAGCTTCAGAAAGACAACAGAAATCCCAGTCTGAGTTTTCTGTCTCTACCAACTCTCAGGCTTCTTTTTACTACAGCTGTTTTTTATGCTGTTTAAGCTAGGTTCTCATCTAATCACATATAAACTTGCATATTTGAAGTAGTGGGATGGTATGAGAGCTGGTCATACTGAGAAGTACCTAAAGTTAACCATCAATCCTCTCCTATAACCTTGTTGTAATGCACTTTCATAGACAAAGCCTCAGAGAAAACAGCATGCAGCTATTTGCTTCCAAATACCTACCCAGAGTTCTGAATGAGGATATCTCCTCCCCTGACCCAGGCTCCATGATCATTGTTTTTGAAAGAGATTAATCTGTCAATCAGGGCAGCAACTCGAGGCTTTTCAGGGTCTGCATCTTGATGAGGTCGGAACCTGGAAGAGATAAACACTTAGTACAAGAAAACTTTTTATTTTACATGTGCCATATATGCTGTGCTGAGTGAACCTGAAAGACAAGCAATCATCTGATGGGCAAATTTCACTCTGCTTAATGTTTGGAATGAAAGAAGCTAAAAGCAGGTACATCTCTGGTCTTCACTAGTACTAGAAAAGCATCTGGGGTACCACGAAGCAGGAAGTGAAACATCTCTTTTCCAGTAATTCTAACAGGCTTAGTCTCTCTAAGTTTCTTTAGCTGTCTTTAACCTTCCTTTATCCCCCTTTTCTTTCTGCCCTCCCTACTTGTAGTGAAGCATTAATGTGAAGGTTTGATGAAGGGAATAATAAACTCCTTGGAAGTACACACAGGTCTGACATTGGTTATGCAAAAACAGTCTGGACATTTGTCTAACTGATCCTTCAAATATTTCAAGCTTTTCTGACATACAGCAGTGCTGCTTCTTTGGGCATGCCTGAGTTTTTTTTTCATTGTGTTGCTACCAAGATGGTCTTGTACAGTAAATTGTGACTGGAATCTAGTTTAAACAGTAGGAAGAAACAGTCTGATTAAGAACTGGTGGCATTTTCACTTGATTACCTCCAGGACACCAGACAAAAAGTAATATATTTTAAAAAACTGCAAACAGGCATTTTGAGTGGGTAAAGATACCTATGTCTGTTATCCCAAACACCTGATACTCTTTTGTTGAGATTTGGATCTGCCCCTTCCCCATCCAAGGGAGAAATGAGAAGATAAGTAAATGCTAGGTATTGATAGACTCAGTCTTCTCAAATAACATTTAAATCTCTCCAGTCTGGTTCCATGTACAATGATTAGGGACCTCACATAGTTATGCAGCGTCTCATTCCTTTTCTTTCTGCTGTGAAACACAACCCCATTTCATGCACTGAGTTTCTTGCATCCTCAACACACTACAGGCTCTCAGAGGGCATCTTGCCCCTCTCAAATTATTCTCAATTATCTGTTAGAACTGAGGTAAACCACAAGGGCTATATGGATTTTCTGCCAAAACAGGAAACTAGCAGGTTCATTTCCAAATTTTGAAGTATCATCAAAATTTGGAACTTTCCTCTTTGCATTTGTAGCAGTCAATTAACTGTCTTTGTCTTAAACACAGGTCAATTGACAATAAAGACTCTATGAACCATATTTTCCATGCTAATACTCAGTTAACACAATAAAATGTTGACAAATACAGCTATTCAATATTCATATAACCAGTATCCCAGGCTATTTTATTTGAAGTCCAGGTGTCATGGTTTGAGCCTGGCACAGAGCCAGTGCCCCCCATGAAAATTCCTCACCCTGGTGTCTGCTGTGAGATGTGACCAGGAATAAGCAAAACAGGCTCTAACTTAAACATAAAAAACACTTTATTACTTAAACTACAGGAAAAGAAAAAAAAGAAATTGAAAACCTTACAAAAAAACTTTCCTCCTCCCCACTCCCTGACTTTCCCAATCCGATACATTCTCCTAAAACACCAACTGCCCAGCCCGGCACGACACTTTAGTATACTCAAACTGCAGTTCATGAAGAGGAAAGGAGTCCTTCTTGTTCCATAGGCTTCTCCTGGAAACACACTGAAACCTCGTGTGCTTCCTTGTCACTTCGGCACCGCCCGGAAAAAGTCCTTTTGCCGCTTGTGACATCTTCCTTCCATGCCCAGTGCTCTCACCACTGACGCATGGCCAGAGCTGCTTTTAGGGTTGTCTTTCAAGGATGCCTTGTCTCACTCCAAAAAGGCACCGTCTCTGCTTTTGGGACATCTGTCCCCCCCATATTTTTCCAACCCCCTGGGGCCGGGGGGTCCTCACGAATGAACCCTCCTGGTTTTGAGGCACTGCCTCCCCCTAAATGCAGTCTGTGTCACAGGAACAACTGAGTCCATGGCCACAAGAAAAGTCCAGCCAAAAAGCCACTCCAAATCATCTCTCCCCATCCAATCATCTCCACGTTCTTCGGGCCAGGTCCTTGTCTCATCTCATCTCTTATCTCCCTTCTTATTCAGCTTCGAGGAGGATTAGCATTTTTGCAAGGCCCCAATCATGAAAGAAAGGGTTAAAAGTTTTCAGTCTTTGTCTGTCCTGGGACGAGATGATACTCCCACACGTGCTGCTGCTGCGGCCGGCCGGGCTGCACCCTTTTCCCCCCCCCTTTCTCTTCCTGGGTCGGCTGCTATCACCGCCGACTCTCCCTCTCTCTCCCTCCCGGGGGGGGGGGGGGCTGGCTGCCCGATGTCTCGATGTCTCTTGGGGCTCCTCCACCCTTCCATCCTTGAAGGCCCCTCACCTCCCATCTCTGTCCAGGCCCCGGGCCTACCGCATGGCTGCCCCTCCCCCGCCCAGCAGCAAGGCTGGACGGGGGAGAGATCTGACCTCTTCACAGCGACGTCCCAAGAGAGCGTGCCAAGGGCAGTGCCCTGCTTTTAACCCCTGTGTATTCTCGGAGGTGTGTCCAAACCCCACTGGCTACACCGGGTGCCAGTCTCAAACCCAAAACCTTCATTGGTTTGACCACAGCTTCCCAGAATTCCCACTCCTTCCTGGTCAAACCACCACACCAGGACAAGACTAAGCAGGTACAGTATAACCTGGAACTTTCCTAGACTCTCCATTACCTTCTCTCACTTTGTAATCTGAAGAAAATGTGGTTGATTGTACCACCTCTGCAAAGAGCCTTCAGTAGAACTGTACTACCGAGCTATGACTTCCAAGTCTAGAAGGAACAGCAGAAACATTCAGCAGTAGGAAAGGTGCACTACTGAGTCCTTTTTCTAACAATTAGTTAAAACTCAGTTATAATTCAGAAGATTAGATTTTAAAGGAATATTTTCCTATCAGCAGCAATGCCAGAAAACATTTTAAGCATGGAAGTAGAGCATGTTTAAAATGGTGTCCTCTAAGAGGACAGAAACTATCCTGAGCAAAAGCTCAGAAGAAACCCAAATCTTTTAAGAGATACCACCTCTGTTGTTCCCAAAACAGATTAATAAATGAAGGAAAAGAATACATATGAACTTACTGCCTGGTTATAATTTATAAATTATTTTATTGTTTTAAAAGAATTTTTCCCCATTGGATATAAGAGCAGTCTCAAAACTTTGCCATTTCTCACTCACTTGAAAGAAAATATCCTTTACCTCGCATTGTTGTCCAAAGAGAGATATTCCCTGGGATCATCAGCACTAGCATTAGTTGTTTTAACGCCCTTATCAATGAACAAACCAGCCTGAAATAAGCAAGAAAAGAAAATTCATAATACCCAAAATTTAGCATAGAGCAGAACTGAAACTTTAAAAATTTAGGCATTGCATTCTATACACATATTAGAAACTCTTAAATCTTTCCATTTGGCTTTAATTGGCATATTGTCTAATGAAAAGCTAATTAATGTAATAAACCAGTCAATACTAAAATGATATGAATTATCTGTGATTTTTAAAAAAGGCAATGGAAAATGATCAAAGTTCACTTCAGATTTCTTTCACAACATCTATTTCAGGCTTTCCATTTATTACCAGATGCTGGAAAATCTGGAAGCCAAACCTGTGGTGAGTTCAAATTATTCTCATAAATGGAAAAGAAAAGAAACCCCAAAATCCACTGTGAAAAATCCTTTGTGTTTCACTTTAAACCTAAACTACCTTTACCATAATAGATAATTTTGATCCATGCAGTAACAAGCTTGAGTAAATAAAAGTGTGAGGAAGCATTTGTGCTCTTTTACTTGAATTATTTACAAATACCTGTGATGGACTGATCCAAATCAGGATTACAACTGGGTCTCATACACAAGCAGATTCTCAGACCTGCTAGTGGAGCTCTCCTTCAACATGGAACTTTAGCACACAAATTGCTATCCTTGTTTAAAGATGATAATAGCTATACAGGTGAAAATCTTTTCTTCACAATGCACTTTTGTATTCAGCATGTTCTAATTCCAATCTGAATAAAATGCCCTACATTCCCAAAAACATTATTAACACAACCTATATCAAACACTGCATTTCTTAGTATCCCAGACAACTGTAAGGCAAAATCAGTTTCACTTGGCAAAAAAAAAAAAAAAATTCAATAATGATTTTATGAGGTTTCAATTGTTAAACTATGAGAATCTCATGCAGCAAACAAACACAATTAATTATTTAGTGTTAGGTGGCTTTGTAAATGTCATTATATTTATACGTACACACAGAAACTAGATTCCAAATAAAATACTTTAAGGATTTCAGCTGAAGTGAAACTTTAGCTAGATGTGGAAAAGGTTTAAAAGTCATACTAACAGAACACTCCTCAATGGAGTGACTGGAGGCTGAGAACTTCATAAGAAAACTGTTGCAAATAAGTAATCTCCTGAAGGCAATATTAAATCCTAATCTCTAGCCAAGATTGCGTCACCATGTGCAAGCACCTGAGACTCGGAAAAATAAACTGTAGCAACTCCAGCAAGCTATTAGATGAATCACTGCTATAATAAACACGATTCTTTGAGGGTCAGCTTTCTTCAGAGTAGGAAACAAAGCTGTAAACAGTAGCATCTGAAATGCTACTTCTGAAAAAAGTAGTTCATTAGAAAGATTAATATATTTTAGTTGTTTGTATTTTACTAGACTCTGAAGCACTGAATATCCAAAATGCAACTAAAAAATACACCCATGCTGATTATACATTGGATTTTGTGCTGTGTTTGAACTCCACTGTAGAACAATCTCCTACCCAGCTTAAAATGCAGACAGGTTGTAATATAGAATACTGAGAGATAAAAACTTCACCTGTTTTTAAATAACATACTACATTACCTTAAAATTAGAATGAACCCTGTTGTTATAGAAGATTCCTAGGGGTGTAAGCTCTGATTTGGTTTCGATGGCTAAACTATGAGAATCTCCTGTAGCAACCCGGTGGAACAAATACCATATTCCTGCATCCTGCAAGTAATGAGAGAATAACATTATTTATAAGTGATTCTGATACTATTACTGGTGCTGATATGTATTTTAAAATAAAGACTCCAAACAAAAATTTAACCAGTGAAAATGCAAGATTTTGCAAATAAGGCTACATTCCAGTGGACAGTATCAACTAAAAAGTGTTTTGCTTCTTAGTGAACCATTCAACACCACATATTTAAGATGTTTTAATATTTCAAAGTAGAAAAGTGTTCAAATTAATGTAACTTCTGCATTTCAGTTATGTCATCCCACACATTAGATTTTCCTTTACTAGTAGATATTACTACTCACAGTAAGATACTCAAAATCATTCCTCCTATCTTTACTCTTTCAGTCTGTTAAGGTTGGTTCAACTCTGCTCCCATCAAAATTTAAATGGCACAGCCAAAAAACACCTCAAGAGCTTTCAGTAGACAGAAAAAAAAAGCACATCAAGAAATCTGGCCAGTTCGGGGTACTGTGCCAATGACATGCAGTAATAATTTTAGTATCTGTTCCTTTTCTCTATTTCTTTAATATCTCTGCTCTTAAAGAAACTGGATTTATTTGCTAAATGAAACCCACAAAACTTCCCTCTCAACTACATCTGTGTTTGCAAGAGGTGGCATCAGGACAACATCTGCATTGGAGACATCTACTGACATCAAAACTTTGGCCTGACCATAGGCCGTGTGCCCTTAAAAAAAAAGAAGAATCATCCCACAAGGCACATTAAAGAATTAAATGGTAGCTAAAGAGACTTTGGGTGCTCCATCTCATGAAAAACAGTCATCAACCTTTTCAAGAATCATGAATAAAGACAATCCACCCTGGCTTAAAAGATTTCATGCATTTCACTCCAAGAATATAATAATTTTCCAATGAGTGCTGGAAATTCTACTTTACAGAAATGTTCCCATCCCAGTGTGTAATGATGACGCACTGACATTTTTGGTGATTAACCATTACAAAGCAAATATGGATGTTCCATTAATAAAAATACCAAAATCTTACCTCACATATAATTAAGTACAGCTCTGTGTTTGGGAGGCTCAAATTTTACCCAAAACACCCCCTGATGCTTGAAAATAGACTTATATAAACTTAAAAGCTTCTTAAGCCTCTGCAGGCATTCAGAAGTATGAAAAAGGTTGGGTTTTTTTCCTCTTCTCTCTCATACACACCAAAACATCTACTGCCTGTAGAGCCTTTCAATAGGTTTCACTGCATAATTAAAGATCTTGGGGAGGAATGGAACTATTTGGCTATGAATTGCTCTAGTTTATACCAGAAAAAGTTCTATATTGCAGTGTCTGTATGAACACAGTTGAATTATTCTATTTCTGAAACAATAAGCTGTGGTCCCTTTATACTAATGTGTTTACATCCATGTAAGGGATGTACATCAGAGTGGCTGAACTTTGTAAGACACAAATGCATGCTCCAGTCAGGCACATCTTGCTAACTAAAGCAAGTAATATCTACTGGGATCAGCTACACAGGCAGAGAAAGACTTTACAGGACTTAAGCACCAGATAGAGAAGCAAACAGCAAAAAAGCTGTCTAACTCAGCCTGCAAAGCCTAAACTAGGTATATAACACAAAGCAGGCAAAATAGAAAGACATTATGTTGGACAAAAAAGAACTGGTTTAATCTGAGAAGTGAGTCCAGATCCCTTTTAGTGACAGAAAGTCAAAAGAAGCAAACCCACTGCAGTAAAAGCAACAAGAATTAGACCACACAAAAAACTGAACAAAATTTTCTGACTTTTTATTACTCCAGATATTTCAATTCAGCTAAGTATTTTGAATCCTATTCTATTTACTAATAACAGTTACGTGCTAATAAATAAATCATTTACTTATATAAATGTTATCATTTATAGATAAATGTTATCTGTGGCTAAAAGCACACAGGCTCATATTCTTCCAACACCAGAGCCTTTGCAACAACAATCAACAGCCTTTCCCGTTTTCCATTCCCATTGATCTCTTCAGAAAAATCCAATTAAAAACCTTACATTTCTCAGCCTCTCATACAATATAGAACAGGCTCCAGCTCCATCCTCCACAGCATGTACAGATCTTTATATCACGGGCAGCTATGAGAAGATTATTTGCACTAATTTAAGGTTCAGAACAAGCAAAAGCCTATCAGCAGTCACTGGCTGAAAACAATTGCCTAAGCACCGACAGAAGAGAAGCATTTTAGCTGCTTCTTACACAATGAACAACTTTTTGTAGCAATTTTTCCTTCCAGTCACTACAGATCTTGCAGAGCTGTCACTAAACTCATGACAACCTACAGAAAATACAGAAGACTTAATATGAAATGTACCAGTTCTGTGAAAATAAAAGGATTTTTACACAGACACTACTACATTTCTACATTGACACTACTGTCAGGTCTATTAAATACGGAAGACAAGATCTCCTTTGTTGCAGCCACAACAGATTTTTGGTTCATTTAAATGCACACCTAGACATACTCTGCACTTTCAATGGCAATATACTGCCAAACATAAAATGATGCATATATATATATATATATATATATATATATATAAAGAAAATATATGTATATGTGGCAGTTTAAATTTTACAGATTTTACAAATGCCAGTGACATCAGTAGTTTGTCATGAATGACACCCATATGCCTTACCTGTGAGCCTGCTGCTGCATTATTTATAAGATGATTGTTGGGGTGAGAAATCCAGAATGTTGAAACGGCCCTGAAATATTATTTAGAAACTAGTTAATAAAGAAAACCTCTGTCTCCAACAGAATTATCTTCCCTTTTTAACATTATCAGAAACAAGTAAATCAATAAAGTAACTACTTCACATTCAAAATACAAATCACAAAACCTTCCACATCTAGAAGTCAAAAATACCTTTTTTTTAGTTCAGTGCACAGTATTGTATTTTAATGTTGTACAGCTATCCCATGCAATTATAAACTGTTTTAAGAAGCTTTCACAAGGAACAAGTAGCATTCAGAAAAAAGACAACTTCAGAATATGCACATATTTACGCAGTACTGAAGATGCTCAACAGACTTCTAAGGTCCCAAGTATCATAAGAAACAACAATGTTCTCTTAAAATACTTTTTTTCTTTAATAGAAGTCTAAGTGTTATTTTTATTGCTATTTTTAAACAGCAGTACTATATGAACTACATTCATTAAATTATAGATTAAAATGTTTCCACCTGTACTTTGTCAAAAGATCATCAGCACTTTAACTGCTACAGCTGGCTGGGTTTTACTTTTTCATCATGACATACTCACATGCAGTCCGTGGCTGGCACTGGGACATAACTTCCATATACCTTATCCCTAATCCCAATACACATGCTGCTGTTTCTGTCTGTAGGTAGAAGAGTGCCTGGTTTTGTGACTAGCCCAAGGTTGTGGAACAAAGTATTCCTCTGCTCAATGCCATCTTCCATGAAGAAACAGTGACCTAGTGTGTCATAGCCAATGGTGTCCTTTATCTGTAGAAATACAAGTTCATTATGTCAGTAGTAACGGCATTTACTGAGATTTATTTGACAAATACCATCTAGTTTTACTATCTTGGCACAGATGCAGAGTGAAGTGTCAGTATCAGCAGCTCAGATGATTCAAGTACATAGTTTTATTCATCCCTTACAAACACAGTGCTGTCTGGAGAGTTTAGCTGCCTTGCAGCTGTTTTACAGTTAGCTGCTGTAAGAATCTCAAAAAACCAGAATGATGAGAACAGTTAAATTACTATTTGTAGTAATTTATTTATCCACTGAAATAAGAAAGTCATTGCTGAGCATTGGATTTGCATAAGGGATGGGATTATTTTCACATCTAAATGCTCTTTATAATATTTATTCCAACCTAATAGGTTTTACTCTCTGTGCACCTACCAGCAAGCCATTAGTTGCATGAACATTCACACATCTAGAAAAACAGTGATGAATGGAAAGACCTTCCAGATAAGTTTTAAAAGTATATCCTCCTTTTTCATCCACATCCCCACAAAGGTGAAAATGAACAGGATAACTTCCAATCTGCTGCTGGCCCATTTGCTTCAATTCCACATAGGAAAGGTGAACAGATGTAAAATTCTTCAAAATCTAAAAAAAAATAAGTCCAGAGGGAAAACCCAATTTGCTTTTTAATCAATGGAAATTTTAAGTTAATACATCATCTTCCCCAGATGTACAGAAGACAGATTTATTGTGTTGGCCTGTAGCAACTTCATACAAGTTATAACAAACATTACTGTCTTGCTGTACAAGAAGCCTTAGAAAACTGTATCCTTCATATATGATTTCAAATTTTAAATCTCCATGAGGCTACAACAGAGGAATTTTCAGCAGACATATTGCCAAATTACTGTTTAGTCTTTACCAGGTGTCAGATTAAATATTCTTCCATGTACTGTCCAACCAAAGAGAAGTCACCCATATCTGGATGTGTCAGTAAAGAAGGCGCCCCAGCACGGTCCATCTGGGACAGCCTTAGCTGAATAAAACCCACAGAATTATGCAGATTCAAGGGAACCTGTTGAGATACCTAGCCCAGTTGAAAGCTTGGTCAGCTTCATAAGACAGTGCTCAGAGAACACCTCCAGCCACAGAGATGCTCATGAAACCCTTTCATTTTCCAGTATGTGAGCATTATTTGCCTTCTTTAAGCCTGGTCCCATTACCTCTTGTCCTCTTGCTGTGCACCTCCAAGAACTGCTGTAGCCACACTGAACCCTCACCAGTACCTGAAGACAGCAAGAAGATCTCTCCTCTCAACTCCCCATCACTCATCATCACACACTGCCACACCACTTTTCCAGGACTCAGACCAGTGCATCTACATTTTCATTGCAATGAGAACCCAAAACTGGACACTGCACTCCAGAGGAATGTCTTTACTAAGGAATATATGAAATGATCCTCACAATCATACAACTTCACAGTATTGTTATTATGTACAAAGTAAAGTCATAATGGGGTTGTAGCAGTAATGCAGGAAAGTATTTTCTTCCACCTAACCTGCTATGAAAGCATAAACCAAATGCAACAGCTAAACTGCAAGGAGCTAACCTGAGTTAAAACCAAACAAACAAAAAAAAAAAAACAGAAACCAAACAAAAACAAACCCTACTTTGTTTTTTGTAACTTCATTTCATTAATTTAGCTGTACTGAGTATTTATCAAAAATCTCCATTTTCATAGGGAAATCAGTATGGTTTTTTCCTCCTCCTCTAATTGAACCCTTAGGGTTTGCATACCTAACACATAGAGGGATGGTCAAAACCTGACCTTTTAGGCATCCTTTATTTCTAGTTCTTAACTACAGAGAAGCACCAAAATTGCAAACCATTGCCTCTCCTCACTGCTACTAAGCTCCCTTTAGGCCACTAAACTAGTGACCAGTAGGAAATTCAGGGTGTTCAAAAGCTATTACATTACTTAACATCTAGGATCTCACTGCCTGAGCATACAAGATTAGCATAAACCAAAAATAATTTCAGTGCTGAAGTCTAGGTTTGGCAGCATACACTCGCTACTCAGTCTCCTGGGAACAATTTAACTTTGATGAGTCAAAATGTTTGTTTTCTTTTCTGCCTTCCAGGCAACTGAATGTCTGCTTATTTATACTTCGGTCACACTTAGCAAGATTCACAGCTTGTCATGATCTTCTTTCATTACATTATCTTGAACCCTTGATATCTGGAGTCCACCTAACTTCTTCCACAAAACAAAAGCTGCCACATAGTAAGAATGGAGCTTATTTTCTTTCCTACTATTATGACCATCACTGTGAAATTAAAATCTGTATCCAAATACATTAGAAAGAGATTTAAACTGTGTTGGCCACATAATGAACACAAATATATTTGCAATTAAAATTTGAGGCCTCAAACTTCTCTAGCATCACTGAAGCACTGCTGCTCAAATCTTTAATCTAAAAATGTAATTGAACGCCAGTTGAAATACTAGTTTCTAGAACTCTCCTTTCTCTAAGGTTTGTTTATTCGTAATACAAGAAATTTGAAGCAGTTTCCTTTATAGAGTCTTAGTACTTTCAGACTTTTAAGAAACTAAATATAAAACCCCATAGTACAAGTCAGTTTCTTCCCCCTCCGTGCCTCTCTAGTGCTTAGGTTCAAATGGGAAATCTGAATTAGGATTCAATGCTCATCACCTGGGGAGGTACAGAGGCAGTGAAAGGAAGAAAGGGAAATGCCAGGGAGGTCAAGTTTTATTCTGTAATGTTATAGGATGCACATGCATGGATGTCACTTGTTCAATCCCTGACATACAATGTTACAGTACCTGCTGGATGTTTCTGTAACAGTTTGAGCATTATATCCCTTCATTTAATTTTGCAGATTTAATCTTGAGGAGTTTAATCTAATCTGGGTAAAACTGAGAATGAAGTAATTTCCACAAAAAGCAACTGAATGAATTGATGTTCTTTAAGTTTTTAAATTCCTTAAAGATAAACATTAATCTTTTTGTCCTTAACATGCCTTTTTATGAGAGAAAGTTAATTTAAAATGTTTTTCAAACCTTGATATGTCCACCAAATGTATCATAACTGAAGAACTGACACTCTTTTTCAAGATAGCAGGTATTTTCTGTCTCCCCCTTTATTAGGATGTTTCTTGTAAGAACTCCAACTTCTGCTCTCATGTCCACTCCATCAATTACTTCTCCAACATGAGGAAACTGAGGGGTTTCTGTCCAACAACGAATTCCGAAGCAGGAGGAAATAAAAAAGAAAAAAAAAGGCACCACTGATTAAAACCAGAATCAACTTACACAAATAAGAAAGATAACCGCAGCAACAAAACCTATGCATTCCTCTTCCTTAACATGCTGGTCTCTTAGCTTTTCTTATGGTAGATGTACTTTTCATTTTAATAAGAAATCAATCCTCCAAAAATATCAACATTTTATTTGCAAGTGCATCTTATAGTTTTGATCCAATAGTTTGTGAACTGAATGGGAAAAAAACAAAGAAGAGTTTATTAATCCAATGTATCAAACTTTTAGTGAAACACAGATGCAGACTTGCTTTAAAAGAAAAAAATATGCTGGCTGCTTAATCTTTCAAAGACAAATTAGGAACGAAAGTGAAGCCAAAACACTGTTTGAAAATGCTGTATTGATTTCCTCCTACAAGAAAAAAGGACTTGCTTTCCTAACTAAATTTCCTCCCTATGTATCTTCAGAACAGCTACCTAAGAAAAATGAAATTAGGGAAAAGAAGACAGTCTGGTTTTACATCTGTCTTCAAAAACCCAATCAATTTCTCATTGAAAGTAAGAAAATTATCTGGTTCTGTAAACCTTAAAAAATGCATTTATGCATTTATTGATACCCTGAACACATATTATCACTATCCCTCCTTAAAAAAAACCTACCACAACATGAAGCAGAACTAAGAGTGACACCAACACTATATCTGCTTCTGAGGATTTAAAAAGACAAGAGACACCTCTTAAATGGGACTGCGCTCCTCTCCCTAAAGGCTTGCCTATTGTTTTTCCCTATATTTGACTAGAAATTCAAGAAATCAAGTGCAGAAAGAGCAACCAGGGCTCCTACAACTTTTTGGTTTCCCTAATACAGAAAGGTAAAACCAGCAAAAAAACCTAATAAAAAAACACAAGAAATAATTTCAAAGGATTATGCGTTCATCAGCATGTCAAGTTTACCATTACAGAGAAAATTCATTCTTTGCGGAACAAATATGTAGGGTGGAATGTGGATTTTTTAGAACTGTATACATTACTATGACAAAGAAAACTACATTGAGGGTGGCAAAGAACCCCAAGTGGGAAAGCTGACTTTAAGTTCAACTCCTTTAATATCCTTTTAGTTAGGATTTACTTTCAAAAAAAAAAAAAAAGCCAAGATTTTGTGTTTTACACTGCAACTTGTGAAAATGTGATTTTTTTTAACCTTCAAAAGCAGCTGTTTTTTCACAGCACATGATTTCCAAGATGAAATAGAGTCCACACACACACTACTCAGTAGTGACAAGAAGCTTCTTAAACTTCATACTGCAACCTTACAGCTAAGTTTGCTCTTTAAAACACTGTGCCCAATAAAACATACCACATGACACTTAAGAACAATGCCCTGGAAATATCATATTCAATAGCACTAAGTTAGCTCTGCAGCTTCACTCAAACTGGTATTCTCTGATGGTGCAATCACGTGAACGCAGATATGCTTTCCTCACACTTGAGATTACTCAGTGTAGTACAACATACACGACCTGTGCTAACAAATGTGAGAGAAGCAAATTTCTCCACCAGCAGGACAGCCAGACTGGCAGATCCTTAAGGCAGAGATGTACAGGGAAATCTGAGGGTGTTGACAGAGAACTTCCCACCCAGTATGATGAAGAGCACTTTGAAGAAGAGGAAGTTGCACTGTGCAGAAATTAATGGGACAAAACCAGACTGAAAACAGCACTCATGAGCTGCTGCAAACTAACACTGCAGAACAACACTTGTTAGTTTGTGCTAAGGACTGATGCTGCAGCCCACCAGGAGTGAGAAGGGAAGCTCCAGAACAGAAGCTGGAGACACCAGGGGGGAGGGTGGTACCATGGAGCAGGTGTGGAGCAGCAGAAGGAAAACACAAACGCCAGCATAGCTGGCAACCCAGTCCCATGGGAGGCTCTTGTGATGTCAAGCAGAATGACTCAGATAATAAAAAGGAAATGGTCAACAACATGCAAGACCATTTACTTGTGCATCACACCCAAAGGAAAAACAGATTGCAACTACTCAGGGATATCCTGTGAGAGCAGAATCTTGGAAGGGCCACTTATTTTATAACCATTTTGTTGGGGAGGTAGTAAAAAGGAGACTGAGGGAAAGGAGAGAAAAAAAAAAAAGGTACAGGTTCAAAGATTGCAATTTTCTTTTTTCCTTCCTGTTTTCATTTCTACTTTTTTAGTAACAACAGAAAAAAATTATAATGATACCAGTTCAAAAGATGAGAATGACACTATAGGCAAGAGAAACAAGAAATGACCACAACAGCTATTCAAGCATGTGAAAAGACAGAAAGGAGCCAAGGAAGGAAAACAAGTCTAACCCTACTGGCAAAAAAAATAAGGTATTCAATAAGCCTGGGAAGAAATGTGAAAGAAAAGTTAGCATGGTGAGCTGTGAGGCAGACCTGACATACAGAGCCATTTTATAACAAGGAGAATTACACATCCATGTATGTGGTAACAAAGCCATACAGCGATTCGAGAAAAGGCTGCTCTTCACTGCTGACACTGCAAGAGCCTGTCCAGCAGCAAATACATACTTCACACAGACCCTCAGGTGGTGACTGCTCTCATACCTTTGACTTTAACCTGATGCTTGGTGCACTCCGTGCAGGGAAGGAGGGTGAACTCCTCTGTCTGATACATTGAATAGTCTGTGCTCGCAACCACAATCTTGTCTCCAGGCTCCCAACTACTAACATCATCCAGAAGGTTCAGTATTACTCCACCCACCGCTTCCACCTGGAAGCCTGATATTGGGACACCTAGTTAAAAAATAAAAGAAAAGGAAACAAAGATTATACTCACCTTTATATTAAACAATTCCCAAGAAGATACTAACAAAATATATAAGAGATTTTGCAGGCCCCAAAGCCCTCTAAAGTACTGCTCTGCCCTCAAACATGCCAGTGTGAGATGTCTTTACAGCCTGCTTACTTATTGGATCTCAAACAAAACAAAGGGAAAACACAGAAACTAATGGTGACTGGAATAAACTATGATTTTTTTTTCTTCAAAAAACCCTAGTATCTTATGGCAATAATTTGTAGGTCCAGCTACCTCTGCTTGTTCCAAGTGACATTTTTTTGCCGTTTTAAACTGTACAGATGTAATCAAGGACATGGAAAACAAAGTACAGGACTTTCTTTTTTAAGTACAACTAATAGAACAGTTTGGCAGACTAAGTAGCACACACGTAAAATTTCACTGGCTCATGATGAATTTGCATAAGTTCAGCCACTTTTGCTAACTCTTGAATCTAACTCTACAGCACCAGTAAGTAAAAGACGTATTTTGGTAGATTTTTTTTTTAAATATGTCTTTACATTTTCATGGGGCTATCAAGAACACTAAAGGAGTAGTACCAAATAGCTCAACTGCCTAACAAATAAATTTATAACTACCATAAAAATTTTTTGAGGAAAACAGACAGGGATTATTACCCATAAAAACTCAGATCTAAGATATTTTAAATTTAAAAAAAAAAAAAAAGGATAAAAGCAAGCAAGTGGTAGGTCTTCTAGCTTTTTATACCACAGATTCAACTTTGTACCTGAACAACTGCCTAAAGTTCAGCACTCTAAGAGCAACCAAAAATCGTAACAAGAATAAAGACTTTCTTTTGGCTTCTAAAGTTTGGGTTGTGTTTTTCTTTTTTTTTTTTTTGTACCATAATCAACATCTCAGAAGCTTAAAATCTACATGATCTGCCAGATTATGAAAATAAATTTTAAAAGTGTCAAAACTTATTAGACTCCTATCTTCATCTAAATATACTTGAATTTAAGACTTGATATTATGCTGCTCACATATTGTATACAAACAGAGTGAGAAATAGGTAGTACTGAAGAGCTGTATCCTCCTATTTCATCCTTAGCAAGAAAAAACTACTTATAGGAGCATTCAAAAATTTAAATTACAACCAGAAGTTTCAGTGAAAAAACAGCATATGAAGTATTTTTTCTTTTTACCTCACATGTAGAATTTCACAAAACACTTTCCTACCATCATTCCATTCGCTGTAAGCTCTCACAACGAACTTCTGACCATCCACTGTGAAAAACTCTCTCTCAGCAAGAGCTTTCCCACCAGTGCTGTGGTTTTCATAGTTTCTCACTGATTCATTACAGGAAGAATTTCCACCACCTATGACACCAACTAAAGCCCAGGCTTGCCTGTGAAAATCAAAAGTAAATGTTTAAATACAATGGCCCTTTAAAAATTCTTTACAAAATCAGGAAAGGCAAGGAGCACAGAAGTCATAAAAAAAAACCTTTTGCTTGCTCTGCCAAATTAATTTTAAAATGTAACTTCAAAATGTAGAAGGAAATGGCCAGACATAATAGCAGTGAAAAAAAAAAAGTTTAAAATAGCTGGGAGTCCTATACACAAATTGGCAGACAAGAGCTCTTACTGGAGAGAGCTTCCATATACATTTCTTGTAAAACATTCAACAAGATACACATTTTTCCAAAAGCAAATTGCTAGAGATGTGTGACAAAAGTCACACAGGATCCTACTTCCAAACAACTTTAGCAGAGCCCAGGAGGAGCAGGAGTCTGTGCCAATGTTCCTGCCATCTGCCAGCAACACCCCAAAGGAGCAGTCAGGACTCCAGAGGATCACAGGTTCCTCTGGCCAGGAGGGATGGACACAGCCAGCACCACCACAGCCACTGGTGCTCACCCCCATGCCGGACAGGCAACAGCTTTTGAATCTTTCAGGGTGCTCAGACCCAGAAAAGGAAGCGCATGCTGTTACACAACTTTCATACAATATACCACTCATGTGTGAGTGTTTGGAAATTGAAAGCAAACCACACACCACAGATAGCTGCCACCAAGTTCAAAAAAACAAGTTTATTTTTCTGTCCTTTACTGCTCTGTAATGCCATAACCATGTGTGCAAAGGAAGCAGTAGAGATCATCTATAAAAAAGCCAGACAATTTTGCATCATTAAAGTTGAATCATTCACCCCAAGCGAAAACAGTGTCAGCTAGCTGGACTGCAGTCAGTTTGTAATGATTAATTAAAAGGCAGATATTAAACCCACCTTCAATCCAGTTGCCTTTATTTTAACCCTTCTTGATGTTTTTGTTGATTGGAATCAAAAAGCCAATCAATACTTTAGCATTAACATGCTCACAGAAATACATATACATACATGTTTACAGCAGTACATACTGGGCCAGCTTTTTAGTTGCAGCAGCAAACAAGCTGAATATTTCACACACCGACATTTAAAATAAAGTTTTTTGATGCATACTTTGCATTCTACGTGTTGCAGGAAGAAGTAGAAGGGGAGAGGGCTGTAAAGGAGTATTCACCCCCATGCTGGTATCTTTTTCACTACCATTAGAGGTTTAACAAAATGACCTGCTTTTCCTGAACAACCCATCAGGGACAGCTTCTTGCCTATCTTCCACTGCAGAACAAAACAGTTTCATGTGCTTACAGAGCTTTTACCGACTAAGGAAAGCAGACAAGGATCAGTTCAGAAGAAAGGCAAAAAAGGCTGCTTTTTCCCAATTACATGACGCAGCCCCTCATTTCAGACAAACTATGTAGAGGTCATGGGCAGAGACAAATCCCAGAAACATACACCTCTCAGGACACGCTGGGCTGGCACTGGTATTCTACTATAGAACATCCAGGTCCTGGCACTTTTGGCCAAACTGCTTCAGAGGCAAGAGCATTCCATTCCACACCCCTGCGCTTACACAGCCAGTGACAAAAATGTAATCCTGACGGGAACTGAGGTCAGAACATGCCATCCTGACTGACACGCCTCTGCCAAAGCACAGGGAGGAAACTAACTGGAATCCAGATGTCAGGGGATAGCAAGGGATAAGAATAGAATGGAAAAACCAATGACCAATTTCCTGGAAAACACTGGACAATAAGAGGTTATACAACACCATCCCAATAGAACAACAACACACTGGGTATACTTTGCACTTGTATTGTTAACTCAGAATCACAGATTCATTAGGCTGGAAAATACCTCTAAGATCATCAGGTCCAGCCTTTGACTGATGGCCACCTTGTCAACTAGACCATGGTACCAAGTACCACATCCAGTCATTTCCTGAACACTTCCAGGGATGATGACTCCACCATCTCCCTGGACAGTCTGTTCCAATGCCTAATAACCCGTTCCCTTAAGAAATTCCTCCTATGTTAAACTGTAAAACTCTCCTGATGTAGGTTACATCCTCTTGTTCTGTCACTGGCTGCCTAGAAGATGCTGACTCCCACCAGGCTTGTAGAGAGCAATAAGGTCCCTCTGAACCTCCTTCAGTTCAGGCTAAACATTCTCAGCTCCCTCAGCAGCCCTTCATATGACTTACTACACTCTAGACTCTTCCCCAGCTCCATTGCCCTTCTCTGGACACACTCCAGCACATCAGTCTTTATTGTAGTAAGGGGCCCAGAACTGGACACAGGACTCAAGGGGTGGCTTCACCAGTGCCCAGTACAGCACTGCCATGGCCCTGCTGGCCACACTATTGCTGATACTAGCCAGGACCTTCCTGGCCATGAGGGCACATTGCTTTGTGCTGCCCAGAGCAGAGTGGACAACCCTCTGTGGCACAAAGCCAAATTCAGAACATGCACTGCAAAAAGCCGTTTGCAACAACAAAATGAAGAGCAATGAGGAGCAGTGTAAGTTTCTTGCTTTAATAACTCCTGTTATACTTTTTCTACTGTCTCACCATCCAAATCCTGGCCAATTGAAAGGAATGGTCAAAAGACATAGAAATACCTTGTAACTGCACTTCAATCATAAAATAATTGGACAGGTCAGCTACTGTGAGAACTCTATGGAGAAGTAACATACTTTTATTTCAACAGTGCAGGAGTATGAATAAGATGTTGACAACTGGGATTAATATTCCTTAGAAATAACAGTTTGGGTTGGAAGGAACCTTAGAGATCCTTTAGTTGCACTCATTGCTCTTCCAATGTCATACAATTAAAAGCTTCACCTAGCAACTCTTACCTATCTATGTCTTAGTTTAATTTCTATAAAGAACAGTGAAAGCAAGTAATTTTGAGTAAGTAAAAAAGTATGTCACACAGACACCAGTTTCTGCACTGTACTGCTAACTGAATGCTATTACCGTAGCTCTATGTACAACACCAAGAACTCTCTGAAAACTTTATGAACTATCAAAGTTTAACAAATCCCCCACAGCAGAATCTGTGTGTCATCTTTAATCAACACAAAGGGGAAAACAAATTACTTACCTGTAACTTAATCCTCTGACAAACCTACTTCCCAGAAGATTCTGAACAGTCACTCTGGTTTCCTCCAAAAGATTTTTAGCAGCTGAATCTCCTACAGCAATAGCAATAATGCGACCAGGATGCCCATTTTTCAGCAAGTTCTGGAGCTTTAAGCTTTCCTCTGCAAATTCATGAGTATCAAACTTCAGCACTTCCAAAACCTCCGCTGTATCCTGATCGATCACTCTAACATTTAGTCCTCGGGAAAAATTCTTTTTAAATGTATAATGACCATAGGCCAGCCCTGAGAAATATATAGTCTTTGACAGAAGAGTCCATGATACCTTCTGGTGCCCGTGCAACTCCAGTGTTCCTTCAGGGCCCACGCCAATAAACTTTTTGCCAAATTCTGGCACATCAGCACCTTCGTTTGACTTCCCATACAAAATAATAGTTGCTTTGGATTTATAGCGGCATTTCTCTGCTCCAACATGAAGCATTCCACCATCCTTTATCAGGATAAATCGAGTTCTCAAGGTAATATTTTTAGAACCTTCTTTATCATCACCAAAAACAAGTAAACCTAAAGGAAAAAAAATATTTCTGTACATCAAAGCAAAATTCAGAGAGACTCAATTAACCACATTTTGCAGAAAGAACAACAGAAAAATTAGATTTATTTTCACACCCATGAATTAAGTTGTTATGCTCTTACATTTATTTAAGAGTATGTGAGAAAGTAACTGCTACCAATTGTGATTCATCTTTCTAAGCATTTGCTGGTTTATTCCTAATCTTTTCTGTCTGTTTGGTAGGAATACTAATATACAACAGTTACCATTGGAGGACAAACAGATTGAGTACTGCACAGGCTACTAAACAACCTTGGTTTCCTATATGGCACAGAAAACTACATCAATGCTACCCTGAAAAGATACTAGAGCATCATCATAGAGAATTCGTCTTTTGAGTGATATACCCAACCTGGCAGCAGGCCAAAAAGTGCAAAAAGCTTGGGAATTGGTCAATAAGCCACAAGATAAAACTTTCAACATATTTTTTGTGCAATCACAGAAGTAAAAAACATGAAGGACACTGAAGCAAGGTGTTCATCTCGCTATTTCATACCTCCATCTTGTATAACTATAGAGTGTACTGTAGCATCTGAGTTCAGACGAAACAAATCCCCTTTTTTGATAATAACTTGTTTTTCAGGATCTTTTCCAGGGCTCCAGTTTTTAAGGCGAGGATTCTGATCAGGACAATTCTCTGCAAAACAATGTGAAAGCATTTTAAAAAACAAACATCATCACATCAATCAAGGCAACATTAGGATGAACAGAAATAAGAAAGGGTCAGTCACCCACAAAGGACTCCCACATCCTTCTATGGTTTTGACACTGCAGTCATTGCATTTGAATAGCCAAAAAGACACCTGAAAAACAGCCAAAGTATCAGGAGTAGGAAAGCATTCTCTACTGAATTAAACTAGCATTGACCACAGATACTTTGGAACCCCATCTGATTTTTCTCTTATTTGCTAGGTCACCTGTGGTAGATAAGAAGAGATAAGCAGAATGCAGTCAGAGAGCAATCACTAAGCAGTGAAAGCCTTAGGCCAGCTAACTAGGCTAACATGGTTATAAAGCATCTAAACACCCCACCTCCTCAAGGTCTCAACCCTGTCAGAAAGGCTGATCCCTTCTTACTTTTAAGCATTCAAATCATTCTCTCAGTGGAAGTTTACAGGAGGGACAAGACTCCCTGAAGATATTTAGTATAAAACCTAACTAGCTAGAGCAGTTTCCCGGGACATGAGACATTTGCATCTAACTTAAACATTTGTAGCCCTTAGGAAGTCAGCTTAAATATCAGGCTACAAACAAGAGCAAAGACACACACAGTCCTTGCTGAAAGCCACGGCACTACACAGGCTATAAACTGAGCTACAAGGGTAGGAAAGAAGAGACAACAGCAAGAAGTGACAGGCCTGTATGATTTCAGACAAAGTTACAGCAATGCAGTATTTATACCACAGACCTCTTTAACAAATTAAGCATCTGAGTAATATGGAAGCATAGACACACTACAAAAACTGGAAAGTAGATTCCTTGGATTATTTTATCAAAATTAAAAATGAAAATTAAAAAATTTAAATATATTTTTCCTGTGCAAAAGACAATAAAAAAGTTGCCAAAATAAAGATGTTAGCAGGCCAACTGAGGTTAACAGCCAAAATAGCCTTTTCACATCCTGTCTTCTGAGGAAATACACCCACACTTCTGAAGTGCTACTTCAGAGGCAAAAAGCTACCAGAAATAGTCCATCCTTCCAATAACTAAAGAAACCAAAACCTATCCACAAGTTTAATACAAGCCAGCCTTAGTTTTGCTAAGAAAAATGTTTTTCCTTTGGTATTAACTGTCCGCATTACAAATCCCTCCCAACTCAGGAAAGCCACATAAACCAAGATTTGACTACCAGTGGGGAAAAATTAGCAAACTGCAGAAATGGCAGAAGGTAGACAAGTAGAATTATGAAAATAAAAACAAAATAAAACCTTTTGGGAGGATCCTATGAAGACAGCTTTTTGAAAATGTAATTCAACATGAAGGAAAACTGAAAAGCCAGGAGAGCTGCAATCAGCAAGACTGCTGAGCATTCACCAGATAAAGGCAAGTCTATTGCCTGACTCATGCAGAGTTCCTAATCCCTTTTCCCCAGACAACACACACACAAGCCCTGTGAAGAAACACTTATTTCCTGGCTGGTAGCAAAGGGCAGTGTGAGGAAACCATGAGTCAGCAACCTGATGACTTCTGCTTAGTGTGATTCACAGAAGAAAAGATCTAGTGAACATATATTTTCCTGCTGAATCAGAAAGAAGATGTATAAAACAGTGCCTAAAAAAAAGAAAATATTTTAAAATCTATTGCACATTACAATCCAGCAAGAAAGCTATCAGAATCAGAACCAGGCACTCTTGTAAAGTAAACATGCTTTTGGGGCACAGTGTGTCAACTTTTTGGCAAGTAGATCAGATGTTTAGCAAAAGTATTTTGAAATTCTCCCTTAGCAGTTCTGGTGGGCCACATGAAAACATCAAATATTTAGAACTTCACCATATGTTATCTCCGAAATTATGAAGTAGATTTTACAGATAACAGTTACTGCCTTTAAAGTTAAATAAAAACAGAAGCACAGACCAGAAACTGTTAGGTAGCGATGACCTTGCCAAATTTAGGCACTCATGTTGAAAATTTTTCAAGTCAAGCCTCTGCTTCAAAACATTTCTGTAAAAATGGGTCAGCATTCCTTCAGGTTTAGTAGCTTCTATTGGAGCTGAGGGGCAAAGTAGAATTTCTGCAAGTAGTGGAGGAAAAGTTCACCACCCCCCCTCCCCCACAAGAAAGCATCCTGACCAAAAAAAAAGGTCCAATGCTAGAACCTTTCATGGAGAGAAATTTGACAGGAGAAAAAGACAACCAGGGAACAGTTCTCAAGATACAACTAAATAGTTACTTTCTACTTGTTTAAACACCATGTCTAGAACTCTTAAGGCCTCTGGGAAAAACTTTGAGTGTTATATTATGCTCAGCAGAAGTTAATAAGACTTTGGCAGCTACATTTTCTGAGGATCCTGTTTACTCTAGGCAAGGTCCAGCTGAGACCTGGAAGAGTGAAGAACTTTTCCCTGTCTCCCCAGCTTAACCTTGCATCAGAGGCCTGGGGAAATGGGGAAGGAAATTGCATTTCCATTGATTCCAGTGTTCAGGACTCCTTAGATAAGTCAGGAATACAGAGGCATGGCGGAAACAGAAACCAGCTGATAAGCAAGAACAGAAATGCTGACAAGCCGCATCCTCCCTTCGGGGAAAGTACAGTGGAGGTTTAGAATTTACATGCATTTACTACAAAGTGCCACATTCCTTCCACCGCCTTTTAAACAGCCATTAAAGGTTCTGACAATATGGATTTCCAACTAGTCCTGAAGGTAACACACCTAAGGGGAACTGGTGTTGATCACTGCAGTACCACACGTGCTTGGGTCAGAGTTATTACGTTTATGCACATTAACATTTCAACCTGCTGGGGAACTTTTGGGGAGTTTCTGTGACATCCATACTGCAAGATTACAGCCAGGCTTTCCTTAGTCCCTGTAGGAGTTTCTCTCATGTCAGCGTTTCACAGTATCACAGAATAAATAGGGCTGGAACGGACCACAGTGGGTCATCTGGTCCAGCCTCCCAGCTTAAGCAGGGTCATTCCACAGCACATTGCACGGAATCATGTTCAGACAGTTGTGGAGTAGCTCCAGTGATACTCCACAGCCTCTCTGGGCAATGTGCTCCAGCGCACGGTCATCCACACAGTAAAATTCTTCCTCATATTAAGGTGGAGCTTCTTATTAACTCTTGTCTTACTGCACAACAGCACCAAGAAGAGCCTGACAGCACCAAGAAGAGCCTGGCTGCACTCCAAAGTACTTCAGAGTGTTAACTGGTAAGTCACTCTCCAGTCTCCTCTGGAATCTGTCTGCAAGGAAAGTACTTACTGCATATGTACCCATTACCAGCAGTATGTATCATAACAGAGGAATGATCCTCCACTTACTAGTCCCTAAGGTTTTGTTATTTTCCTTCATAATTTATTAGGAAAGTTCAGCAACTTCACCCAAGGAGGTAACTCAGCAAGCCACCACAAAGAGCATTTCTGTTGGATATGTACATTTATTTTGTACTGTCATCTGAGACCTTCAGTTGGTTATCTGATTTGTTCAGCCTTTGTTGCACTGACTTTGGAAACAGCATCTTTTTGATTACTATGTCAAAAGCCACTGTGAAGTCTGTTATTACAGTAGCCAACAGTTTCAATTCAAAATCTTGTTTAGCTTCTAGAAAGCTTCTGACTTCCAAACAAAGTCACCAAAACAACCCACACTCCAAACTGTACTACCAATATTTAGCAACTACACCTCATACCATCTGCTAGGAGTAATTGAATAGAGGGATGTACACTTTGTGGTCACATGACCTATTGATGCCTTAAAACCACTGACACATTTCAGAGATTCTCCAAATTCCAAAAGAGTAGCCCGTTTTCTAAGATGAGCTGAAAACAAAAAATCAGGACTAATATATGAAAAAAGCTCCCTGCCCAATTTGCAAACAAACAAAACAAACACATACTATTAGCACAGGTTCTCAAAGACTTTTAAATTATTTGACTTTAACACTTTTTTACTGTCTTCCTTAGTTACTGCTGAAACAGACAGGATTCAGTTTTGTCTACAATTCATGAACAGATGAGACAGCTTCTGCAGATCAAAATAACTATGCTTATAAAACATTCATGCCTCTTTCTCCCCTCACACATAATCTTTATTTACTGCTATGCCTTTCTGTTTCATGTAAGTAAATTAAAGCATATGTAATAAAAACAACACTGATAACAAAAAAGGAGCTGATCTTTGCCCCCAGTCTCTGCCTCCTCTGATCTTAAAATCACAGTCAGTGTCCTATTATCTTTCAACAATAATCCTGACGCTAAATTATTGGGTTATGTTCACAAGTAGCATAACTTCTAAGATGATTTTCTTAATGAACTTACCATCTGGAGCATACTTTGAAGCTATTCCCAAAAAAATCCCCAGTGCAACAAAAAGTGAAAGGCTAGAAACGGCAGAACAAATAAGAGTATTTTTGTGTCTGTTGGCTTCTGCCTGTCGGCGGTGCTGCTCCACTGGCAAGGACGGGAGTCTTGTCTGGGCTTCCTGTCTGGCCGAGGTAAATTCTGCTGCAGCATGGCTCTGCGAAGGCGGCGGGGGACGGAGAGGGGCAATTCTCCCCGGGACGTACCCCGAAGACCTGTGACTGCTCCCGTTCTGAGGACGGAGGAATGCAGGGGAGCTCCCCCTGGTATCAGTGCCTCGCATGTTATAAAGTCACTGGAACACACACACAGAGGGGGAAAAATAAAGAGACAGGCTTTCAGAATGCAGATCAAAATGCAGAAAATAAAAAAAGAAACAACAGCAAAAGGTGAATTTAAGCCACCTGTGTCAAGAACAGCCACTGGAGCTGTGAATATTTACAAAGTATCTGTGTTTCAGTCGCTACTGGTCACTTGCCATGGTATAAGCGCATGGAACAACTTATGTGTCTTCAACACGAATTCAAAAGAATGTGGTGTGGGAACCCAGTATTTGTGGGAACACAGACCATTTCTTCATAGTTCCAGTGGGTATTTTTCACTGAGTATTTTCACAGTTAACTTGTATTGTGAGATTAAGAAATCAGATTAACAATGAGAAAGCTAGCAACCCCTGCTTTCCCACAGTTATGCAAAGAATGTCTAGATGTATTTTTTCTGTACACAGAAGCTGAACAAACTCCTCACTTTCCCTTACTGAAAAGAAGTTTAAAAAGATAAGCCTGCCTTCTACACTGGAAGCTCTAAAAGCTGTTTATATTAAAATACCAAATACTTTTTTTATTTCTAGTCATGCTGATGCAACTTAATCAACATTTTTAATAAGCTGAGGTGCATAGAGCCAGAAAACTCTTGATTTACTCACAGCAAGATTCAATTGACAGTAAAGGTACATCAGGAATTGTTCTATAAGTCACCTACATCTTATTCAGGAAACCTTGTGATTTTTTTCTGCTGACATACCTGGACACAAAGCCTGGAAGCAACATGCCTGCTCCAGATCTCTGCACCTATTGCCCAGAAGTGAGTGCTGCTCTTATTTCAGTTACTAGTATTGTCCATCTTTCTTCTGAAGCATACCAAGAAGAAAGCATACCAGTGCCATCCCTGCCTGGCCCATCCTCAGCAGTAGCTCTAACTCACAGCTCTAGTTTAAGAGACAAACCTGCATTTGATTGTTTTCTCTGGTTTTCCAGTCAACAGTGTTGCACAGAGTATTCACAAAGCTGGCATAATTTTTTTAAATCTTCATTATGATTAACACTTCTTATAGATGAAACTTTTGAGAAGGATGTTCAAGTTTCAGTTAACTGAAACCTAACTTTTGAAACTAAATCCTGAAGGGGATTTAGGCATAGGTCATGTGCATTAAACAGCAAAGTGTAGGAAAAATAAAAACTACTAATTATGGAAGAGTATAAAGATCCTCTTTCTGTTCCATTAACAAAGGGAAGTCTGAGCCATACTCTGAAGTGTCAGGCACGCTGATGAAGGAGAAATGTGACAACTGTAATCTTATGCTGAGACGCAGCAAAGGAGCCTTTTGTTCCACATGCTGCAAAATCTGATAGTTCACTGTTTCCAGGAAAAAGAGCTGTTACTATAGAACAGGCTGGATTACCCTTTCATGGGAGACAATGCATCTCCAGATGTAGGCACAATGACAATGAAGGCACAGAAACATTAACTGGAGTAGCTATCCCAGAGTGCAAAAATTATTCCAAGTCCTCCAGAAATGCTTCTTCCACCTGTTCCTTATAACAAATTGATTTTCAGCATTCTCCTTTCTGTTCTTTGACAAACCAAATCCTCTGTTCTCACACTTAACTGCCCAACCAGTTATGTGCACTGTGGAACAGTTTGCTTTACCCTCATATGCTTTTACTCAATTTATCACCTCTCAGAAATGAAAGTAATCTCTGTGTTTTAGATGTGGTTTAAAAGCTAGGTAGAGATGGAGCTTTTCTGCTAGTTCAAAGGCAGTATTTATATCTAGATAAACAAATGTTGGATTAGCTTCTTAATTAAGCATTTTAAGAAATCTGATCCAGCATTGAGATTTTCTTTTTTTTTACGGTTTGAAACCCCAACTCTAAAACTTGACTAATTTTTCAGTTAGGACATTTTTCTGTGACACTGACAAAATTATTACAGTGTTCATTATAGTGTAATATCAACAGTTAAAAAGTTTTTAAACCACTCAGCTATAGCAACTGAATCCAGATTGGCTATGCAAGAATTGAAACAGTTTTACAAAATAATTTTCCCACAATTCTTCCCACCAAGCTCTCCTAAAGTACTGCCAGACCTCTAAAGAAATAACAAAAAAAAAACCAAACAAAAAAACATTAATTACAGCAGCCATTGGAAACACTCGTGTCATATTTCAAACATATTTTGTGTTGTACAGTGCATTCTGCTTTGTTAGCAGCCCTCACTTTGGCAATTGTAGAAGGTTTTCAACTGTCCCACTCAAGTGAAAACATGGGTCACCCCAAGGATGGGTGGGAAGAAGATGGTAGAATTGCTGTCTTAACCATTACTAAATAAAAATAATTACACTAAGCCAGTAAGGAGATACTCAGTACATTCTAAACTCACCATTCAGTTTTCCATTACAACAGGAGTAACCATTGCAATGCTTCCTTCCCTCTTCATGAGTTATTTGAAATTCTCTAGCTGAAAAAGGATGTCTTCTATCTTGTAGAGCAGCTACTAGCTTTTTTGAAAGACAGACTGATAATCTGATGCAAAACATTGGCTTGTTTATTTCCACTCTGTGGAATACTTCAGAGAGCACCACACAAAAGCAAGTAGAGTAATTGTCTGTATGGCCAGTTATGCACCAGAGAATAACGCAATTATTTGGCTGCACAAATACAGTTTGTGTGTCACAAATACAGCACAAATTTTACTCTGCAAATGCATTTACAGAGTGAAATGCAGGCCAAAATACCCAAACTGCTGAACTATTTAAATACCACACTGAAAATTCCTATGCCATCTGAATTTTCCTATGTTTCCCTTTGACCTGTGCCTATGCCATGGTCTCGTAAAGGAACTCAGGATCTGGGCATGTCTTCCTGATGGCCAGTCCCAGACAAGAACATCTCTCACTTTTGCAGTTGTACTGTGGTACAGAGAATGGTGCCACAAATTTTACTTTGCAGCTTGCTTCAGAGTGCTTTCAATAACAGTTAAGTTCTCACACCACATACAACCAATTAGCTAACATTTGTACAGACCTCTATCTGTACAAATGTGTTATTTGTCATGCCATTTAAAAATGCTGCTTTCTCACTACTCCCAAATTTTTTGCACATCAGCTTTCAACAAAGTATTATGCAAGATTTTAAATCCATTACTCAACAGAGCTTTTAGTCAGAGCCACACTTAAGCATGTGCTTCAAGCCCACCAGTAAGAGGCAAGCTTCCCTGCAAAGACTCAGCTGGAGGATCTCAGATGCTTCAGCCCATGATGTATCTGGAGTATCTCAGATATTTCATTGCCACCCATCTGCTGGATGACTGCACTATTTGCATATCGCTCTTTTGCAAGAGTAGTGCAACTCCACACAATCCAGATTTCTGCTCATGCACCCCCTCCTACAGCATGAGCAAGCAAACAATTGCTTCTCATACTGCTCACATCAGCCAAGCCAGCTTAAATTACCTTAAATTAGGAAAAAAAAAAAAGGTTTATTTTGCACAGCTTCCAAGTGATTACCTGCAAGTCTGGATATGTCAACAGAGCAACTGAGCAAGCAGATGTGGACAGCAAAACCCAGCTTGCAGACAGCAGTGAGCCGCTGAACAGGCTGCTACATCTCCTGTCTCCTCAAGTATTCTTTCACCACTTCTAACTTGTGCCACTACCACACTCTCATACAAGCCCACATTGTTCCAAACGGTCAGAAACTGGAAACATATACACTGTACAGCCAGGGCATAACATATGAACCTCCTGAGACATGCCTGAGTGCTCGGAAGCAAGCAGCGTGCTTATCCATTACTCATTTTGGGGCTGGTTTCCTGGAAAGAAATTGGCTTATTTTACCAGATAATTCAAAATGTCACATGACACCACCCAAAAAGTGGGGGAAAACCCAAGATATTTTACACTTCTGTGTTGTCACATGCTAAGTGTAATAAAATATGTCAAACATGCTAATAAACTCCCACACCTGCACCATCTGAAAATGTTGTACAGAATGGTTGCTTACCTCATAATTCATGCCTCTCTTTAAGCACACTTTAAGGATCATAGGTCTTAAAAATGAAATAAAAGAAACCAGAAAACATTACACACTTCTGTTGATCTGGGCCATCAAACTACACCAGCTCTAGTGCTGACCTATTACCACACTGTCTAGTCTCAGAGTATACAATTACTGCTCAGGAAAAGACTGAGCAAAGGGTGGAGGAAAACACATACACAAAAAAATATTTTCCCATGCAACACAGTAGTAAATTTGCAAACATTAAGCTGAGAGCATGTGTCGATCTGTTGGAAGGTAGGAGCGCTCTATAGAGACACCTGGAATGATTGGATGGGTGGGCAGAGTCCAATAAAATGAAGTTTAATAAGTCCAAGTGCCAGGTCCTACATTTGTACCACAATTTCTTGCAATGCTACATTCTGGGGACAGTGTGGCTGGACAGTGCTCAGGAGGAAAGGGACCTGGGGGTGCTGGTCAGCAGCCGGCTGAACACGAGCCAGCAGGTGCCCTGGGGGCCAAGAAGGCCCATGGCATCCTGGCCTGTGTCAGGAATGGTGTGGCCAGCAGAAGCAGGGAGGTCATTCTGCCCCTGTACTCGGCACTGGTGAGGGCGCACCTTGGGTGCTGTGTCCAGTTCTGGCCCCTCAGTTTGGGAAGGACCTTGAGACGCTTGAGCGCGTCCAGAGGAGGGAAACGAGGCTGGTGAGGGGCCTGGAGCACAAACCCTGTGAGGAACGACTGAGAGAGCTGGGGATGTTCAGCCTGGAGAAAAGGAGACTCGCTCTCTATCTAGAGGATATCTCTATCTACTGTAAAGGAGACTCACTCTTATCACACTCTACACCTTCCTGAAATGTGGCTGCAGTCAGGTGGGCGTTGGTCTCTTTCTCCAGGTAGCAACTGACAGAACAAGAGGATACAGTCTTAAGCTGCACCAAGGGAAATATAAGCTGGTTATAAGAAAAAGCTTTTTACAGAAAAAGTGTTAAAATACTGGAATGGTGTGCCCATGGAGGTGATGGAGTCACCATTGCTAGATGTGTTTAAAAAAAGACTGGATGTGGCAGTTGGTGCCATGGCTTAGCTGAGGTGTGTCAGGGCATGGGTTGGACTTAATGATCTCGAAGGTCTGTTCCAACCTAATGATTCTGTACCACAAAAGTTATTACTGCTTTCCTGGTAGAGGCACTTGTCTGGTATAAAACCAAAGCGCAGTGAGAAACCCATGAAAAGGAAAGGGGACATGAAATCAGTATTAAAAAGCTCCTAAGTAAAAACAATCACTGAACAGAATGTGATGTCAGGCAAGCTCCTAAAGCATGGCATGCACACCTTTGTAGACCTTCAAGCTGGTCAACCATAAAAGAAATGCAAATTTCAAGTGTCTTGGAAGTCCTCAGGTCAAGAAATCACCTCACCAGTAAGAACAATTCTAGACAGGGTGCCCACATGCTTTCTTTCCTGGTTTCACATTTTCTCGTTCTGCCTTATTCTGAAGTTACACCTATTCACTAAGACAATAGACAGCATATTGGAAGGAACCTACTTTTCCACCCATGTACAAAACTGGAAAGAATATATGCACAGTAAAATGCACTGCTAAGTCAAGAAACTGTTGGAAATCACAGTATTTAGAACAGCCTGAAAAATCTCAACTGAGTTACAAAGAAAATCTTTAGAACCTTTACTGACATCTACACACATATGTGTTTTCTGCATACCTCCAACAAGTTTTCTCCCATGCTCCACATTTTCAGAAGAAAATTAGAGCATAAACCAGCAAGAAACAGAAATATAAGAATGGTAAAAGTCACAAAACTTAGAAGATAAGCTCTGAATTTCCTGTGTAGCAATTAATAATCTTTATGATTTACTTGGCACGTAGAAAATGGGTAAAATTGCAAGGTCTGTATTTCTTAAACCAATTCTTTCAAAGTACAGAATCACAGAACCACTTCAGTACCACGCATCAAGAAACCAAGAAGTGAAACCATGCATTATATTTACAGTATAAGAGAAGGATTATAGATAGAAATAACCTTTGTCAGCTAGTCTAATGAAATCTTGGAGAACACAAGCCTCTCTCCAGTTCAGAAGAAATTTCAAACTTATATACAAGTAGGGAAAGTTGGAGTACATATGTCTAAGTGATAGGCAAAACAATTAAGCTATTATCTATGGATTCATAAAGACAATGAGGTGAGGGGCAGAGGATGGTGAAAAAATTGCATTCCAAGGGAAATAAGTAAATAAACACTCTGGAATAGAACTGGTCTGTGGGAATAAGTACGAAATTATGGTCAAGTAAAACCACTCCCACGTCCACAGCTGACAGCATACAGGAGAGCCATGAATTTCATTGCTATCCTCTTGTGCAGGTGTTTGGCAGATCACCATTAAGGATGAGACAAAGACCAGAGGGTATTTGTAAAACAAAAATGGTTCCCTGCTCCAAAGACAACTGGGCTTTTGTCCTTGAGTTACAGTTTGTGTGAACAGGCTCTATAGCACTGATCTGTTTCACTTACAGAGCATTTGATGCAGCAGATGAAGTATCTGATCTTGCAGAAAGTTCATGTACAAAACCTGGGAATTTTTGTAATGCTGCAGATACGCATCTTACCATAGAAACTGAAGGGACATGTTTTTTCCAGTTCCTAGACACTAAACATGTAGGTAAGCTTTCAAGAATTCTGAATTGACCAGTAGACACTGCAATTTTCAGTCTGCTCAAGCAGAACTGTAGTGGCTTCAGATTTTGCCCATTGAAACAAAGAAACACAAGCCAGCAGCCACAGAAAACTGTAGTCAGCGTTTCTAAAACAGTATCTGACACTTCCAGTGAGTTCTACTTTCCTGCCCTTTGTTTCTTTTTGACACAGTTTATCTTTGTAAATTATAAATTGGTGGAAGTCTATTCTGTTTTTCACTCACTGTTTAAAAAATAGCATATTCTGCTGGAGGAAAGCACGTAGAAACAAATGAATTAACGACAACTTAAATACAGCACATCCAAGAGCACACTAGGAAACACGGCATGTGCCAACATAGGCAAAATGAATGGAATCATTTTTACTACTCCACTTTCAGAAATGAAATGTTTAATAATTTGTGTAAGAGATCAAGAGTGGAAACTTGCATTTTAGTCACCCATCTGTCATTCGCTTGCTGCATGAGTCACAGATTACTTGGGCCCCAAGCCTGTAACATGAGCAAAAAAGTGGTCGCCAGCCTCACAGGGACATTGCGACGGTTAGTTCAGAGCGCTTGGCCTCAGCTCAGTGATGCATCTGAGTACAAGTCTACTTCTAGGTAAATAAATAGCTACACTTAAGTCAACAACTTTCACATGAAAATGATGGATTTGCCACACTCACCTTAGGGAACCTGAATAAAATGGTAGGGAAAAATCTAAATAAAAATCAGGGAAAAGCATTTAAACTACTTCTCATACGGACAATAAGAAGCGGTATACAGATACCTGCAGTCTCTAGAAAAACACAAATCCCAATCTAACAACTACAGCCTAGGACTTCAAAGCAGAAAACTTTTTATGTAATGGTACTACACTTCAGAGAGGTGAAGTTGAGTTCTGGCACTACCTTGAATCACTGGGCCTACAACCCTACTCCAAAGAGAAGGACAGTAAGATTAGATATCTATTAGTAAATTAGAAAAGCTCCTATAAATAGATTATAAGCATATATGAAAGTACAGACTATAACATGCAGTGGGGAAAAGAATCAGATTCGATATTTAGCTTCAGTAAACTGACATATGCAAAGCGTATTCCTGCGTGTACTCACATAATCGCTTAATCATCAAAGGTTGTCATCTTTAAGTTGTATTTAAAACAAGAATCAGCATAATAACTCACTCTCTTCCATATCAGCATGTGGATTTCTTTCTTTGGCAAAGCTGTTAAGTTCTTAGAATTTTTTCTTCAGCCCAACTCAAGCTTCAGTAAACGAAATGTCACCCCTCATTCTGCATACTTGAAGGACTGCCTCAGCAGATTTTAACTGTGCATCAACCACAAAAAAAAATGCTGCTTGAAAAACTGAATTGTTGGAGTCTCACACACACATTCTTTTGTCTTGCCCTTGTATAAGCCAAGTTAAATGAGTCTGCATTAAAGAATAATTAAGAGCTGCAAATCACATCCAGTAAAAACTCTTTGAATCCCCACAGGACTCTTCATACTGGTGATGGATGACTAAGAGAGAGGCTATATGTCACTAGGTCCATAGAATCAGAAGTAGTTGGTAAAATGCAAAAAACATTTCATGCCTCTTCCCAGGAGGAAAAAAAAAAGCTGACACAGAAGTCTTTGAACCTGTCTCAGTACTATATGCTTTGGACAGCAAGCATTTACACAGCTTCAGGGAACAACAAGGTTGCAGAAGATAATTCAGTTGAGGAGTATTGGATAAATAACACTGTCCCGAGTTTAGGAAGTCCTTGAAACACAAGCTGGAAGCAGTAGCATCATAATGCAGTGGCTTCACCAGATGACTATTACTCACCACTGTCAGACCCTGGGTAATTGCCTGGATGGACACTTGTTCTGATGTGATGTGGTCATTCCTCTACTACACTTTAAGACCTCATTTACCTGTCTTTCACCTCCACTCTTCCAAAATCACCTCTCCTCCTCTAAGGACCAAATCCCCCTCAACTCAGCCACTGCAACTGCCTGCTGAGATCAGCAACACAAAATACACCTTTACCTGATCGCTTACGTCAATATGCCACACTGATTGATACACAGTAGCTGAAATATAGTACAGTTTTCATTTTGCTGTAGGAATTGTGGCAATGTATCAGAAGGGCACAGCACATACCAGCTAAGGCATGAGGGCACAAAGTCTTGTGAAAAGAGTTTCTACTGATGAACTAAGAAGAGTAACTTGACTGTGTATCTGAATGGCAAAATAATCCATGGCTCTAAAGTATCTCAGAAATCTCAGAACTACATGAGTTGAGAACCCGGTGAAAAAGGAACAATGACTTAACTTATGCAATATGACGCCTTTGTAGAATTTTGTAAAAGAAAAAACATGCTATAATTCTCCTTTTGTAAAAAACACAAACAGCATATCTGGGATATGTCAAAAAAGCAAAATCTCAATCTTCAAAGATCAAAACAAAACCCAGTAATCCACCATTAGTTATGCATTCTACTGAGCTGGTGGCTACACTCATGTTTTGGCTTACCTACAGTGAATTCCATTCTAGGAAACTCGAAGAACTCCACACCCTACTGCCAAGTACTGTAACATCCTGCCAGGTATAGCTAGTCATCTTGTATGATTGCACTACTCCTTTTTACATGTTCTTCTTAATCCCATGTGCCAAGAAGACAGAAAAGCTACTAGCACATCCCTCCCATTAACCTACTTCACAACAAAGCAATAAAATCAGTTACAAGTTCTAAAGTATGCATTGTTTAATGCCTTCAGTATTTTTTTTCCATATTGGCAAATACACCACTTCTCTCCCTCAGATCTTTGCTCAACTTTTCTACTCTTTTCCAATTTCTCAGTATTACTATTCCACGAAATATTTCTGTGGATTTCATCCACAACTACAAATAATTCATTCCCATTTGTCTTGCCAAAAATATCTCAATTAAATCAACAATGAAAACCCTTTTGGTAAAAATAAGCTGAGAATGTATAAAGTCTAATCACAGTTTGACTCCAAACAAGAAACTGCAATTTACAACACAGGCTTTAATCACGTTTTGATGCATACTGTAGGTGATTCTATGGAACAGCCTTACTAATGCAAAGCATGAACCCTACTGATACACTTCAGATTATATTCCTATGATTTAATTTTTTAATATACAGAAAGCAAGATTTACTAGGTGGCAATTTTCCCACTAACTTCTGTCTGAAGTTTTTAAATCACTGGTGCGTGCACACAGAAGGTAAAGAACAGTTCCTCACAAATACTGCGGGACAGCTTTCCCCGAAGTCACGCACAATGTGGCCCGTCAGCCAAGGAGCTCCTTCAGCTGCAGGGCAGAGGAGCAGAGGTGTCCCTTACAGCATCAGCCTCCAGCAGACAATGCGCACCAGGGGCCCTCTCCTCCCCGGCTCCCCCAGTACAAGGCAGAATCAAGAGGAGATGGAGCTCCAATCCTAGCACAGAGAGTAGCCAGAGCCGTCCCAGGGGTACAGAAACAAACAGCTCCGTCCTATTCAACAGGTAAGATAAACAAAACTGAGTCACTGCTCATTTTCTGCAAACAAGACTTCCACAGCAAGAAACTGGAGTTACCTCAAAATATACAAAAACAGTCTGCTAAAACTGTTTAATGAAACTTCTGAAACACACTGGACATATAATAAAGGAAGTTAATGACTGTCCTTTATATTTAAAGTTACCCATAATTAAATAACATTTCTAGTCCAACTGCCCAAGGCAGGCAGACATTTCTTCACAGCCTTGGTGGTAAGAATGTTGTTTTGAAGTATTTAAATAAGACTGAAAAGCACCTATCCCACTGCCCCTTGTCATTACTTAACTTCCACTGAATTACAAATTATTCCAATATTTATCAACTCAAACTAAAAAAAAAAAAAGAAAAGCTGTAAAATAACCAAAGTAGCCCTACAAGTTGTGTTCTATCTAATTTCATATTCACGCTTAAAGTAAAAACAACTTTTTTTTGGTCCCCTGGTCTGTGAACTTGGAAGAAAAGTGAACTGTACCACCAAAAGGCAACTTCCAGTCACAGGACCTGTAAAAGCTAGGAAATGTTCAGAGGATTTCATAGACCCTTCGGTAATCAATAGTTTTTACACACAGGGGCCATCATCTTCTACTAGTTAGTGTCTCTATCAACTAGCAACAAATCAGACGAACTGGCTAAAAGCCTTCAGCCAATCCTTAACACCACTTTCCTCAAAAATACCGTGGAGAAATGTTCTAATATCTGTAATTAAAAAACCCACAGTGTGCCACTGGAAAACATATATCCCCATCTCAAAACAGCACACACCACCACAGCTCCTGCTGAGACCAGACACTGAACTCCAGAAGACACTCATCTTAGCATGGACCCCACAAGACTCCTTGTTTTTGTCCTTTTCCCCTCCACACTTGCTTTCTTCTTCCTGAATCCCTTTGTGTTTGGGGGTATTTCTCATGCTTTACATGTAACTTATTTCTCTGGCATCCCTGTCTAGCTCAAGTCCCTGACATAGTCTGCTGAATGCTTTATTAGCAGAGACAGTGCAGGAGGAGCAGGCCCAACAAACTTGATCTGGCAAAAGACTTCACATTTGCGCAGGCAGTGTTCAAGATCCATGTAGACAAAGCATCTCAAAGAGCTGCAGACTCCTAAGAACAAAGATGAACCTCCCTCCCCTTACTGCTACCATGGGCCATTTCACATCAGTAGCTAAGCCACTGCAAATCTTTCTCTGTGATTCATGAAAACAGACTAATGCCACAAAAAAGCACCAAGTACTACTTTATCCTCCACATCACATTGTCTTTGCCTGCTATTCTGCTTTTAGAACCACTCAAACATATAAAATCTCTTCCCATTCAAGGAAACTGTATCACTAAATGCACACTTCAGTACCAGCAAGGGCACAATCTTCAGCACACAGCCCTCATCTAGTTGTGATGTAGCACAAATGCAGTGCATTAATCGCTGCACACCCTCCTTTCTCAGAGGGGCTGTGATGATGTACAGCTCCCACTGCTTCTTCCGTGCCTCTGGGCAAATGAAGCAGCTGTTGGTTATCAGTCACAAGGACGGCATTCCACGACAGCCCAAGCTCTCGGCGATGCCTGTGACAAGTCTCAGCCAGTCACGCCGCGATGCGGACCCGAGCCCGGTCGCTCTCCACCGCGATCGCGGCAGCACCGGACCGGGCGCGCCAACAAAGCCGCGGTTCCGTGAGCGCGGCCCCGCCGCCGCACCTGCCGCGGCCCCGCGGGGCCCACACCTGCCGGGGCCGCGCGGCCCCTCAGGGCGGCCGCGCCCGCCGCCGCCGGCCCTCCCCGCCCCGCCGCCGGCAGCTGCTGCCGCCCCCGCTCCCTCCTTCCCTCCCTCTGCTCCCTCCTTCCCTCCCCTCTCGCCGGCCCCGGGAACAAAAGAGGCCAGTGCGGCGGAGCCCGGCCGCTCCGGCGCGGCGGCTCGGCCCACGCCCCAGCCGGCCCGGCACGGCCCGGCACCGCGCTGGCCCCGGCCGGGCCGGGCGCGCTCTCACCTGGGCCCGGCGCGGCGGCGCGCTCGGGGCGGCGGCGGCGCGCTCAGGGCGGCGGCATAGCGCTCCCCGCCCCGGACACGGCGGGAGGCCGCCGGCTGCTCGCCAACCCCGCCGCTCCCCGCCTCGGCTGCCGCCCTTACGCAATTGGCAGCGGCCGCAAGCCCCGCGGGGCGACCCAGATCGCGGGCCCCGAGCGGAGGCGGCCGAGCCCCGCCGCTGCTGCCCCGCCTCCCGCGCTCCCGCCGCCCCCGCGCCGGGGGAGGAGCGGGGCCGCCCCCGCCGCCCGCCCGCCCCTCGCCCGGCCTGGCCCGGCCGCACCTCCGCGCTGCGCTCCGCGGGCGCCGCACTGCCCGGCCCGGGCCTGGCGCTTCCTTCCTGCGGGACTGCATCCCTCCGGCCTCGCTGCTGCCGGGGCACCCAGGCGCCGCCTCCTGCAGCACCCGGGCCTGGCGGGCAAGAGGAGGCAGAGGGGCACTTTGCATCCGTGCCCTGACCTACGGCTCTCCTCTACGGCAGAGTGGAAAAGTGCTGATTTTCAGTTCAAATACTGGACGCACCGTTAGATACCGATGTCCGTGTTAAAGTAATAGTAACAACAGCAGTAGTACTACTACTAATCATAATGATAATAATACTTGTAATAATAGTAATTCCACAGTTATAAACGCGCAGGTGCTGCCTGGGCGGTGTGGAATGTGCGCGAGGAACGAGAGCAAGGCGACAGCGGGGGAAGAGGCACTGTGCTGTCTCCAGAGGGGAGGGATGGAGGGACACCCGGAGCGCATGAGAGGCGGCAGAAGCAGAGAGCAGAGACACGCGGCGGCTGTCGGTACGTGCTGGCTGAACAGAGTTACTTACGGCCGTTGTAGTCCGGGCAGTCTGACCAGCGGAAAGAGCCGACTGGAGAACCTGATGCCGCTTTCTGATTTGCTTTTTTGTTTTGTTTTGTTTTGTTTCTATTTTGTTTCTTGTTCTAATATTTTTTAAGTAAAATCAAACTAAAACCCAAAATGTTCTGAATTTCAGGGAGCCCCTGCCTGAAACTGTTACCCAGCAAAGAGCATCAATTGGTATAGACATTCAAGAAGGACTGTGAAGCCTCAGGGCACCTCAGGCTGTCAGCTTCGATGCAAATCTGACAACTGGCTTCTCTTAAGTTTGGGACCTCCCACCATTTCCGTGCTGCAAGGTTGGGCCACACTCATTACTGATGAGCCAGTGGAAGAAAAAAAAAAAGAAAAAAGCATTCCCTGGTCGGATTCCAGATGGGTCAATGAAATGCTTCAGGAAACACAAGCATTTCCCAACATAGTTATTTCCTTGGGAATATTCCAAATAGATGAAGTCAAAGTGATAACTCACTTGTATGTCTATGAACACTGCCCTGCTAACTTTGCCTCTAGCGATTTCCTCTTTGTTTAAATCACAGTAAGCATAGCCTGTGTGGTGTGGTGTACTTATAGCACATGGAGACATCTAGCGCCTAAATAACAGACTGCAAATCAGCTTCATTTATCTGAAATCTTGGAGATGACAGTCAGACCCATTGCTTGCAATGTTTCACCCCAGGGCTGCAGGGTGCTGAGCAGTTTTAGTGCAAACCATCGCACCACTGGATAGCAGCTGTCCTTGGGCAGGGAGCGCGGTGGAAGGAGCAGCTGCACTAGCTCAGGAGGAGACTGACTGCAGCTCTGCTGCACAGTTTGAGCTTCAGGCCTAGGCGTTACAGCAGTAATTGACTCAAGACAGAGATTTGCCTGTATAGGCACAAAACAGGTTGAGACAGTTCCTAACTTGCCTTTGTCACTAAACCACAGAGAGTAAAGCTTGTAGGTGTATGAATAAGACAATTTCATCGTGGCTTTTGCAGTGTGTCTCTACTTCTATTCTTCCTTTGTTAGGCCAGGAGCACAATTATTCTAACACGTGTAATTGTAAAACTTCACCTCTTTTCAACAAACATGCTAACTGAATACTTACATTTGCCTATTTCTTTGGCTGAAATTAAACTGAATGTAAGCACTGCTTATCTACTAGAAAGATATTAGTCTGGGAACAGAAATTATTTACTTTTCTTATATACTTATCTAAAGAAAGAAGAAATACAGACTGTAATCAACATTCTCAGCCAGAAGCCTGAAAAAAGGTTTAGTTATACCCAAGTACAGATGTTTTTGCCAGTACTACTATATAGGGGCATAAAGTAAAACATTTCTACATACTTAAATAGTCCTCAATTGAATATATTGCACTGTGTGTGTGTAGGAGTGCACACGTATGAGTATTTTAGACAACCCACATAATACATTATTTTTCAGTCTCAGGCAGGCCACAAACACCTTTGAGCTATAAAAGCACTAGATCATAGGACCATAGAAAAAAATAAGGCTGGAAAAGACCTTTAAGATCATAAAGTCCAGCTGTCAACCTAGCACCACAAGCCTAGCCCCACCATTAAACCATGTCCTCAAGCACCATGTCCACAGTTTTTTTGAACACTTCCAGAGATAGGGACTCAAACACACTTTACAGCCCTTTCTGTGAAAAAGAAAATCCAACAATTTAGTCTAAACCTCCTCTGGTGCAACTTGAGACCATTTCCTCTCATCCTGACACTTGTTATCCAGGAGAAAAGATTGACGCCCACCTCACTATGGCCTCCTTTCAGGCAGCTGCAGATCTCTTACAGAATGGAATTATTACCAAACAACAATAATGCTTTTAAGTGATGGATACATTTGAATTAAACAATCCCTAAACCCTGTAAGTATGTAAAATGTTGGACTTTGAAATTTGCTGAGTATTTGAAATCTCTCCATCAAACCCAAATGGTGCACTAAAGCATTAGTGCATCTCCATTTCGTATCACTTGCTTCTTCATGATGCTTTGGGTTTCAGCAGACAAATGGTTGGTAAAGTGTACAAACCAAAGTTTTAAAATTACAAAAGATGGACTTGAAAGAGATGATGGATGCCATCACTATAGTCTGATGATTTTAAAATAAGCACGAAGGAAGCAGCTTTTGTCCTTCTGAATAAAAAGAGGTACTAGGAGAGAGGAAGGAGCAAGTTAGGAAGCAACAGGTGGGAGTAAATATAGGCAGTTACAGTTAAAATTATGTCCTATTCTCTCAATTCCCATGCAGACCCTTAGAAAATATTGCTGTTTTTCTATTTAGATAAGAGAGCAAATGTACCTATTTCTTTCCTGACCTAAGCCTTTCTGGCATATGTCCCAGGTATTCTGCAGTAATACCTTTTCCATACAGTAGCCATGTTTTAAATTATCATAAACCACTCAGATTTTTAATTAACTTTCAGTGAGTTTAGCACTTGTGGCAAAAAAAAAAAGTTATTAAAATAATGCAAACACTGCCTAGGGCTGGGGGAAGGTTTGCTCTTAGTAAAAACTTGATCTTACTTTGAAATACTGTGCTTCAACCAAAGGTAACAGTAGTTAATAAAATATAACAACAGTTTAAGGGAGAAGACAAGAGTGCAAAATGAATATTAGGGGAATGTAGAGGTAATTTTAAAGCAAATTTAGTCACAGGCAGATTTAGTGCATCATCTTCCCCTGCTCACTGAAGAGCCAATGTGGGGTTTTTTCTGTATGTCAAGACAACCCATATGAAACTGATTTATTTTTTGCAGGTTTACAAAACAGTGTGACCTATAGCTGAGTTCTGGTAGATCCTACCTGTCATTCTCCTCTGTCACTTTGTATGTTTCCAAAATTTTTACTGTGAAGAAACTTGTCAGAATTTTAAGATTCTGGGTCATATAAAGATGAAAAACTGTTGAAAACCAACAACAAAACCTGATATATTTTTAGTGACTTTTAGATTTCCTCCTCAGTAATCAAATGTTGATAGTGGATCAGCAAAATACTTTAAAAACTTGTGTAATGGAGTATTGTATGTTGCACTCAAGGGTGAAAGGAGAATTAATACATCAGGGTTTTAAAAGAATATTTGAGAATAAGTATTAAGAACACATAAGAACGGGAGGGGGAAGTAGATATATGTAGATGGAACACATGAAGGGGAGCACATAACTGAGACAAAAGGAGAAAAGAAGAAAACAACAAAATCACAAAGCCAATATGAGTACCAGAAAGCTGTACTTTGCATTTTACACTTCTAAAGTGCAGTTTGATGAAAGACAAAATGCAACGAAGCTGTATTGCACCAATTTTAAATATCATCAGAATAGAAGTCACAATTCCCTACCAAATCAATTCATTCATTCATTCACACTAAGAAACACAGATACTTGTTGTGTTTAGATTTTAGTCCAACATTATTAAAAACATTTGATTGTGATTGTCTTCCATATTTAAAAATTTTTTCCTTGGGAAAGTTTCTCACAGCAGGTGTCCACCTTCCCAGTCACTTCAATATTTATTTTTATGTGAATTGGGTTGACATTTATGTCAATTTTACAAGCTAAGTGCAGCAGTAAATTTGCCTTGCATTTAAGGTAAATATTGATGGAAATTGACTGGCAAATGAGTGACCAGAAACACAGCCATAAGGACTGCTGGTTCTAGTTGCTTGTTTGGTCAATAAACATAAACAATGGCTAAGTCAGATCCATAAGAGTTGTATTTGGAGTGCTGTGCTCATGAGACGAGCTACAGTCTACAGACTTTTTAAGATATGTCAGAAATTTTTAATTATGAGGCATTCTGTAATTGATAAGGCAGACTAAAAATTGTTAAGTGCATAATTTCCTACAAATTGCCTGCCAGACTTTGGCTGAGACTATTTGAAATATTTATGACCGTTTGCTTTTTATCCCATATGCTTGGTGTAATTGCTTTTAAATTGTGCACATAATGTTTCTTTGTGATAAATTTAATTTTTTATTTTATCTTAACAGAGAATGATTTTGGTTAAAACTCTGTGAATTTTACAAGAAGATCAGAGCTTAAAGCACAGATTTCTGATCTGCATTCATATACTAGTAAGCCAGAAACATGACATAATTGGGTTCTTTTAATTTTTGAGGGAGACAGAGAGTCTGACTTCCACTCTAGAGAAATGCATTTAAGTGTTCTGCTGTTATAGTTATTTATTATATATCTGATTGAAGAGAAAGATAAATATTTTCACAAGGTGAAATGCTCAGGAATATTACTTATTTTAGAAGCATTTAAACATTTGGAAAATAATTAAGTTGTAATGCTTCTAAATTGGTGCCAAAACCAGATATGGAAAGTTCTAAAAACCTGTATTCGCCAGTACCTCATTTTATCCCAGAAGAAACATATGTATGTAAGAACAACGTGTAATTGAAAATATGAAAGGTAAAGTTCAACATTAGGACACTAAGATAGCATTGTTTTCCGTGGCATTAAAACCAAGTTCAAAACAGAACTCTCCATCAAACACAAGATACATTTCTTGCACATGGTGATTTGCTAATGTAAATCTTCTTACAAAGCTTTGGGCTTGTTTATTCACATTTACACCATAGTCCTCAAAATGTCATTCTTTTATAAAAACTTCTGTGAAATTCATCAGGAACACATTTGACATGTGTTTTTAAGTAACATTGTAGAATAAAGCACTTATGCTTACTTTGTTTTGTTACAAAGTGATAATGCACGTATGTAAAGTCAGAGGGGTCATTGTTTCCAGTAAATTTTCAGTTTTCTGCCAACCGAGTGTGTCACCAAATGACAGACTGAACCTTTTTCCTTTTTGGTAGAACAAATACAAATGAAATCACTGTTACAGGAAAAGTTATCTGTTGGATTCTGTGCATAGGATATCATTCTGACCTTTTGATTTTTTTTACAAAAAAGCTCCAGGAACTGAAGTGTGTAATATGAATGACAGACAAAAGTAAAAACAATAAGTATTTTTTTTGCCCAAGAGAAATGAATACTTTGATTCACTGAGATGCATTTGCAATCCCGCAGAATATGATCCTTAAACATTTGGTTTAGGTTGAGACATTCAATAATCCTAAAAATCATGCTACTTTTAAAAATCAATTATTTAAACAAGAGACTGAGGTGAAAGCACCATGATCATTACTGGTTTTGCAAGTCTGTTTCTTTACAAAAACGATAAATTAATGTAAAAATAGGACTCTACACTAAAGCAGACATTCATCTAGCAAAGTATCTTCTTTCCAACAGCTGTTGACAAGACATTGCAAGAATATATTTTCAAAAGATAAGTAAACATACATCAAAACTTGATAGCCTACTTCCCCTTCTTCAAGTAATTTGCAGGTCTGTGTCACCGTTGATATGCTGCTTTTTACCAGCTTCTATTAAAGAATATGTTGCCTTCTGAACTATATAAGTTCCTAACATCCATGATGTACTGCGACAAGGAGCTCTGTAGTAACTACATGGGGCATATGAGTTACAAGAAGTTTATCTTGTAACAAGAAATATCTCTTTCAGAGGTTCCACTTATCTTATATGATACCCCATAGTTCTTACATTGAAAGGAAGTTATTCCCTATTCACCTTTTCTATCCTTTTCACATGCCATCAAATTCTCTCATGCTCATTGAGATTAACAGAACATCTTTTTCCGTCCCTTTCATGGAAACTGTTTTATATTTCAGCATCTTTATTTTTCTTTTGCCAATTTTGCTGCCCGTTTATTTAAAGAAGACAGAAAGAGAATTGCAGTATCCTCCAGAATATGGGTACCTTAGATTTAAAAAAAGAGCTTTCTTTTAATTGTATTTTTCTCCCTTAATCATATCTAAAATCTTATTGCTTTGTGGTCACCATTGAATATTGCATTGATGTTTCCTTAGTAGTATTTCTGAACAGTAAGTCTTTAGAGCCTGTAATTGTGTACATAAACTTCGCTGTGGATTTCCCAACAACCTGTAAGTGCCATGTGTTATAACAATCACATCAGCGAGCTTTGGAGAAGGAGCTGCATTTCAGATTGTTCATGTTCTGTTCTGAGCAGCAAGTTCCTGTTCTGTGTCAATTGCAAAATAGGAGCCACTCAAAAATTATAACCTTTGTCATAAACCAGCCCTTTGGAAAAAATAGGCCATCAGTTTCCTGTTTTCTCCTCAAATACTGTCATTTGATTTTAGGTAAGCAAAGGGGGGAAAAAAAAGACAGGAAAAAGTACCTATCAAACTGTATTGTGTGCTGAAGGCACAACAACGTTCTCAGTGCAAGCTTGCCATTGTTTTTATACATAAGGCTACTCAGGGAAGTTCTTTTCTGCT